GACCCCCCAAGGGCAACATGGCCTTGTGCAGGCCCGTGAGCTTGGCGACCTCCGTCCTCCCGTAGCACTCCAGCGACGCTCCCAGGAGGCCGATGCACTCGTTGATCGTGAGGAAGTCGTATCCCGGCTCGAGGGCGAAGGAGGTGAAGTTGAGGGAGATGGAGGAGGCGCCTGGAGGCTGGATGATCCACCGGCAGTTGCTCCCGTCCTCGTACAGGCTTGACAGTGCCGATCCGTCGGACATGGACCCTCTCGCCTCGTCAAACAGCTGGCACCGGCACTTGCCTGTGCAGGGCTTGAGAGCTGAGCTGCAGATGCTGTCCTGCAGCTCCTGACAGGCTAGCGCGTGCTCCCCGCTGTTGCAGACAGGGGTCGAGCAAGCCCTGCAGGAGGACCCGGAGACGTACTGGCCGGGAGCACAGCGAATCTTTTTGATGAGGATGCGAGTGTTCTGACAGTACTGGCCTGATGACAGCGCGTACAGCTCAGCGTCAGCTCGGATAGACTTGGTCAAGCCGTTGAGGGCCATGACGCGACCAGCAGTCACGTAGTTGTAGTTTGACGTGGCGTAGACTGTGCCGTCGGACACCACGAGCTGCTGGAGACCCCACGGGTAGCGTGCGATGACCTCAACAGTGTCCGTGTCGTTGGGAGCTACTTGCCAGCCGGCCGGCAGCTGGACCATGCCGCACTGAAGCCTCTGGTTGGAGCTCGATAAGGGCCCTTGCAGGGGGTCCCAAGGCTCCGTCATGTTGTCCATGAGCACGGCGTACTCGTCCCCGCTGCGAGAGGTGACGGCGAAGATCCAGCCGCACTGGTAGAGCATCGCATCGGGATAGTCCTGCCTGCACGACCTCGTGATGTTGCACCGCATGGAGGCTGGCCTCACGACGACGTCGCTCTCCGGTGACGGCGGGGGCTTGCAGGCGAGGCAACGCGTGCCTGACTGGAAGTATCCCGGCTGACAGCGCCAAGCGCACTCCTCGTCAGCGGCGTCGAGGAAGTAGGCGAAGTTGGGAGCGTTCATGCAGGGCACACAAGCGCCTTGACTGCGATAGTGACCCGTGCCGCATCGCCACTGGCAGACCTGACCGCTCGACCCGTCGGCTTCCACATAGAGAGCGTTGCTTGGCTTGGGATACCTCGGGTCGCACGACGCGCATCCCTCATACGCCTTGTAGTATCCTGCCCGACAGGTCCATCCGCACCCGCCTGGTCCCGAGGAGGCTACCGCGTTGGCCGGTAGGCTGCCCGAGCATGGCGTGCAGTCTTGATCGCCTCGGCCCACGTAGCCGTCATCACACTCTAGGCGCACAAGCAGCATCCGCAGGGCGTAGTATCCGTTGTCGCAGGACGAGAGGGCGTAGGAGTTGCCGCTGCTGTAGAGCATGTTGCTGAAGATGCGGGTGCCGGGCGTTTGGTAGCTCATGTAGTCCTGGTAAGGCTGCGCCGTCTGGTAAGCGACTCCGTTGGCGAGCACGATGGCTCGAGCTCCCCATGGGTACGACCCGACGACTCTCACAGCTTCCTCGCTCCATGGCGCCAGCGTCCAGCCCGCAGGAGGCTGCTGGTACCTGGAGCCGTCATGCTGGCAGCTGAGGTTGAGCGACGTGGGAGCGACGTCGTCGAAGGCTGCGTAGACCTTGCCGAGGTACCTCACCACGTGCGTCAAGCTGTTACTGACGTTACACGCCTCTCCATGGCTCTCGCCGCTCGCGCAGGCCCACTGGCATGAGTTGGGCTGGTCCAGCAGGCCCGGGGTAGAGTAGAAGCGTAGGGGGGGATGGGGTTCGTGCAGGGGAAGCACACCATCCACTCGGAGCTCCGGTAGAAGCCGGCATTGCACTCCCAGGGACACTTGCTGTCCGCATATTGGCTGGGGCTGGAAGGAAGAGCATAGCTGGCGTTGGCAGGGATGGGGTTGGAGCAGGGGTAGCAGTAAGAGCCGGAGAGGTAGAACCCGGGAGCACAGAAGAGCGACATGAGAAGAATGTCGCTGCACGTGTTCCAAGATCGATACATACCGTCATATCCGATCAGTGAGTTGGATCCCCATCTATATGGGTAGTTACAGCATTGACAGCTGCTGGTGTACCAGATAGAGCTGTCGGATAGCTGGAGGTAACATACTCCCCACCGCTGAGTCGCGATCGCCATCTGACTGTCCCCGGTGTTAGCAGCTATCGCCCAGCCCGCCGGGATGCTGCTAAAGGTCAAGGGTGTGTTGCACTGGTAGGGGTCGTCGGGCCGGTGGCCTTGTAGGGTGGTGTAGAATCGGTTGCCGTACTGGAACATCTCGCACTTGCTGGCGTTGACGTTGCTCCCTCCCCCCTGAGATCGATAGTGACCGAAGTCGCACGCCCAGCCGCATGCCGTCCCGTTGCTGCCCTCCCGCAGCCAGTGAGCCGCCCGCGGCTTCCTGTCCTCGCACGCGACGCACTGACTGTCCTTGAGGAGGTAGCCCGCGCTGCATCGCCACCCGCACTCTGTCCACGACCCGTTGACCCCCCCCGGCCCGTACGCTACGTACTCCGCGTGCTCCGGCGCCGTCTCGCACGCCTGACACGCCTCGCCTCGTCGCGTGTAGCCCGGGCTCGCAGCCCACGGGCAGACGCTGTCGGCGTAGCGGCTGGGGTCCTGCTGGGCGACGTAGAGGGCGTGAGGGGGGATGGGGTTGGAGCAGTTGCCGCAGCTCGAGTCGTTACGGAGGTAGTAGCCCGCCGCGCAGTACTGCGACACGAGCAGGATCGACCCGCACGAGTCTGTCGACCTGTACATGCCGTCGTACGACACCAGCGAGTAGCAGCACTCTGACTGAGGCGACGACCATGATGACGAGCTACACCCAGACGTGTACCAATTAGAGCCGTCTGACATCATCAGCCTGCAGGGGCCCCAGGTGTACATCCACGCTGTCATGCGGCTGTCCCCGGTGTTGGCAGCTATCGCCCAGCCCGCCGGGATTGCCTTCAGCCTGGCATAGTTACACCCATAGTAGGGCCCGTACGGGGAGGAGCCGTCGAGGGCGGCGTAGTATCGGTTGCCGTGAGAGCGCAGCAGAACACAATCTCCGTCTGCCGACGCGAAGTAGCCGAAGTCGCACGCCCAGCCGCATGCCGTCCCGTTGCTGCCCTCCCGCAGCCAGTGAGCCGCCCGCGGCTTCCTGTCCTCGCACGCGACGCACTGACCGTCCTTGAGGAGGTAGCCCGCGCTGCATCGCCACCCGCACTCCGTCCACGACCCGTTGACCCCACCCGGCCCGTACGCTACGTACTCCGCGTGCTCCGGCGCCGTCTCGCACGCCTGACACGCCTCGCCTCGTCGCGTGTAGCCGGGCTCGCAGGCCCACGGGCAGACGCTGTCGGCGTAGCGGCTGGGGTCCTGCTGGGCGACGTAGAGGGCGTGAGGGGGGATGGGGTTGGAGCAGTTGCCGCAGCTCGAGTCGTTACGGAGGTAGTAGCCCGCCGCGCAGTACTGCGACACGAGCAGGATCGACCCGTACCTGTCTGTCGACCTGTACATGCCGTCGTACGACACCAGCGAGTAGCAGCACTCTGACTGAGGCGACGACCATGATGACGAGCTACACCCAGACGTGTACCAATTAGAGCCGTCTGACATCATCAGCCTGCAGGGGCCCCAGGTGTACATCCACGCTGTCATGCGGCTGTCCCCGGTGTTGGCAGCTATCGCCCAGCCCGCCGGAATCGCCTTCAGCCCGACATTGACGTTGTAATAGTACCAGTAGTAATTGTAACTGTTATCTCCCCTCCATAGAGAGGAGCCGTCGAGGGCGGCGTAGTATCGGTTGCCGTACGAGCGCAGCGGCAGACAGTCTCCGTCTGCCGACGCGAAGTAGCCGAAGTCGCACGCCCAGCCGCATGCCGTCCCGTTGCTGCCCTCCCGCAGCCAGTGAGCCGCCCGCGGCTTCCTGTCCTCGCACGCGACGCACTGACCGTCCTTGAGGAGGTAGCCCGCGCTGCATCGCCACCCGCACTCCGTCCACGACCCGTTGACCCCACCCGGCCCGTACGCTACGTACTCCGCGTGCTCCGGCGCCGTCTCGCACGCCTGACACGCCTCGCCTCGTCGCGTGTAGCCGGGCTCGCAGGCCCACGGGCAGACGCTGTCGGCGTAGCGGCTGGGGTCCTGCTGGGCGACGTAGAGGGCGTGAGGGGGGATGGGGTTGGAGCAGTTGCCGCAGCTCGAGTCGTTACGGAGGTAGTAGCCTGCCGCGCAGTACTGCGACACGAGCAGGATCGACCCGCACGAGTCTGTCGACCTGTACATGCCGTCGTACGACACCAGCGAGTAGCAGCACTCTGACTGAGGCGATGACGACGACGTACACCAGGAGCTGTACCAGGAAGAGCCGTCTGACATCATCAGCCTGCAGGGGCCCCAGGTGTACATCCACGCTGTCATGCGGCTGTCCCCGGTGTTGGCAGCTATCGCCCAGCCCGCAGGGATCGCCCTCAGCCCACCGTTGCAGTTGTTGGGATCATACGGAGAGGAGCCGTCGAGGGCGGCGTAGTATCGGTTGCCGTACGAGCGCAGCGGCAGACAGTCTCCGTCTGCCGACGCGAAGTAGCCGAAGTCGCACGCCCAGCCGCATGCCGTCCCGCTGCTGCCCTCCCGCAGCCAGTGAGCCGCCCGCGGCTTCCTGTCCTCGCACGCGACGCACTGACCGTCCTTGAGGAGGTAGCCCGCGCTGCATCGCCATTGGCACTCGTACTCGATTTCGTGTCTCATCGTCAACTGGACATACTCAGCATGGGCTGGCAGCGTCGCTCGGTCACAAGCTACACAATGATCGGCTTGCTGCTTGTAGCCGGCGTTACACACATATGCACAGGTGGAGATGAGCTGGTTGTCTGCTGCTATAAGACTGCCATATGACGAGTTGGCAGGCAGCGCGTTACTGCAGGGCACACAGCTTGAGCCGCTCTTGAGATATCCCGGGGCACATTCAGTAGACCTCAGCAGAACTCCCTTGTCACAACCATTTGCCTTGTACATGCCGTTGTAGGAGCTCAGATATCCCCAGCAGCATTGCTGCGGACTGGTAGAGCTAGTGCTGCGAGCTGTGTACCACAGAGAGCCATCTGAAAACACCAAGTAGTTCGATCCCCAGGTGAAGTACCAAGTGACGTACTGACTGTCTTGGTCGTTGGGGGCGAGCTCCCATCCTGCCGGTACCGGCAAGTACGGATCGTCACGGCAGGTGTAGGGGTCGTTGGGAGCTCTGCCGCTCAGAGTCGTGTAGTATCTTCCGGCGTACTTGGTCCCGACGCACCTTCCGTTGCTCCTCACATACCCGAACCGACATGACCACTCGCACTGCCTCCCGCTGACTTCGCCTGCTGTGAAGTAGGCGAACTCTGGCAGACTCGTCTCGCAGGCTTTGCATGCCCCGTCTTGGAGGTAGTAGCCTGCATGGCACGTCCAGCTGCAGCTCTCTCCGGGCTCGCTCGTGGTGTACACAGCATTGGGAGGGGCTACCGAGCAGGCAACACAAGAGCTCCCGTAAGCATCCCTGTAGTAGCCGGCGTCGCATTGCCAGTCGCAGTTGTTCTTGTTTGCAGGCGAGCCGCTGCTGTTGTAGGTGGCGTGATCAGGCTTGTAGCTGCTGCACGGAATGCAGCGGGTCATGTTGGAGGGATCCCTGTAGTAGCCCGCGAGACAGTCCTCTGCTACCACCAGCACCGTCCCACAGCTGTCTCGTGACGTGAACATCCCGTCGTAGTTGTACAGTCGCGACGTACAGCACATGCCTCCGTATCCTGTGTTCCATGCCGTCCCGTCCTCCAGCACGACATTGCTGGCCCCCCACGGGTACTGAGACACCACAGAGATGCTGTCGCCTGTGTTGGGCGCTATCACCCACCCCTCCGGCAGGGCTCTCGCTCCCTCCCAGCTGCAGGTCGAGCTGTCGTATGGGGCTCTCCCTCCCAAGCTCGCATAGCGCTGTCCGTTGTATCCTACGGTGATGTCGTCGCAAGAGCTGCTCCCGCTCTGACGATAACCAAAGTCGCACGCCCACGAGCAGCCTGACCCCTCCCAGTGAGCATTGGGAGGCAGCGAAGACGCGCAGGCCTCGCATCGCCATCCGTCGACCTCGCGGTAGCCCGGCAAGCAGCTCCAAGCACAGCTGTCTGCCTTGCCCATCAGCCCGGCGCCCACGTAGACGGCAGCAGAAGGCTTGCCCGCACACTTGGAGCACGTCGAGCCTGACGGGTAGAAGCCAACCTGACAGCTCCACCCGCAGCTGCTCGCCTCCTGAGGGTAGGGCGAGAGCACGTACTGTGCGCCGGAAGGGATGGTGTTGGAGCATGGGACACAGCGAGACGCGTTCGTCGATCCGCTTGCAGAGGCTGCAGGAGCGACGGCCATGTAGCCCGATGCGCATACGGGAGCGAGGAGCAGAACTCGAGCTTCGCAATCTGACGAGCGATAGTAAACTCTGTCATACGTCGAGAGATAGCCGCTACTGTAGTACGAGCCCGGGTATTGCCAGTAGTACCAATACCAATAATACCAGTTATCTCCTGACATGACGCTGTTGGTGAAGTAGCTCGAGCTGCTGTCCAGCACAAGCCGAAGAGCTCCCCAGTCGTACTTGGCGGTGACGTTGATGCTGATCTCGTTGTCCGGAGCGATCGACCAGCCCGCAGGCAGCGGCAGGTACTCCTGCCATTCCGACACACAGCCCCACATGGAGTACTGCGACGTAGGACCGTACCCGCCAAGAGTCGAGAACACGTACCCCTCCTCTTCCACTACCTCCTGCCAGGCACAGGAGTCCGACCCCTCCCCGCGCCCTGCCGACACAAACACAGCGTTGGCCGGCCTCTTGGTGCAGGGCATGCACACGCTCCCTGACTTGTAGAAGCCAACGTCGCACGTCCACCCGCAGAGCTCGTCGGAGTAGCTGGCGTTGCTGGGCTTCCCTTCGCACTCAGCGCAGCTCTCGCCTTTGAGGTAGAACCCGGGTTGGCATATCCAATTGCACGACTGCGATGCCGTAGAGAAGTCGGAGGAGTAGATGGCGTTGGGAGGGATGGAGTTGTTGCACAGCACGCACGGCAAGTCAAGCATCACATACGGCGACGGCACACCAGAGACAAGCAGACGAGCCTCACGGTCGGGCATGGAGAAAGACGTCAAAGTTGACCCCCTGCCGTCGCTCATCATGTACATGGTCGAGAAGTAGGTGTTCTGCATGCCGATCGCGACCCGCAAGGTGTTGTTGGCAAAGAAAGTCACCTCGAAGATGAGGTTCGGATGCCCCGGGAGCCCCGAGGTAGACGAGGTCCCCTCGAACCTCACCACGTACCCCCGCATGTCTCCCTCCCTGGTGGGGGTCCCGACGATCAGCTGGGCTGAAGTGTCTCCAGCTCCGACAAACAGAGTCGGGACGTAAGGATTGCTGGCTGACAGGGAGGTGTAGGTCGACCAGGCTTGTCCGAAGGTCAAGTAGCTGTTGGACGATATGTACACCGATGATTGCACGTTGTTCCCTCCAACGCAGAAGGGAAACCCAAGGTCCGGCACTCTCCAGCTCCCGTCATCGACAGAGCTTGGCGAGAGGATGTAGGACCAATTTCTTCCTACCGCCAGGTCTGACTTGAGGTAGGATGTGTTGAGGATCGTCGCATTCGGAGGGCCTTGGAAGTGCGCAGGCGCTGGGTCTGCAGTCGCGGAGTCTCGATACCTCGTGGAGCAGAAGTCTGGGGTCTGACCTTGCGGGCATCCCACGTACACGATCAGTATCCGCATGTTGCAAGACGCCGGCCAGTACAAGCCGTCGCTGCTGCGTAGAGAGGAGCCTCCATTGGAGCAATACCAGCATGTTGTGCGATAGTATGAGCCGCTTTCGACCAACATGTAATCGGTTCCCCAAGTGTACTGACTGATGACTTCTCTCGACCGCCAGTCATCCGGAGCGATGGCCCAGCCCTTCGGCAGCCGCAAGGCTTGTGTCTGGCAGTCTTCGTTGGTGCTGGTCCTCTCCGACATGTAGTATGTGCCGTCGAGGGTGGCAAACTTTCTGCCGCCGTACATGACGCTAGGAAGATCGTCTCCGCGCCGCTCTCCGTCATCCTCAGATATCTGATAAATATCAAGGTCAGCAGCTGATGCTTCAGAGATCGTCATGTCACCATGGAGTTGTCGCGGAGCGAGTACTTGCTGTCCGCAGATCCCACAGATCGCTGGAGGTCGACATGAAGCGCTCTCAAGTGCGCATTTGATGATGCAAGCGAAGTAGAAACTCCCTTGCGATGAGCTCGATCGCCTTGACTCATCGGGCGCAGCTTGTCAGAAGCCGGCATCTTGCTTGAAGAGGAACGCAGCTGACGGTCAAGAGAGTCCTCCTGAGCGATCAATTGCTGGATCTCCATCAGGCGTGAGGTGATGGGGGACGAGGCAGATCTCTGAGAGGGGCTGGTAGGCTGTTGATGCAGAGCATCGTCTCCTGTGGCTGAAACAGAAGCAGAGACAGAGAAAACAAAAAGGAAAGCGAAAACAATCCCAAGACTCATCAGGCTGATGCGAGCCATGTCGCGAGAAAATTGAGACTGGAAGAAGAGATCGGTCAGAAGCATTCAAGAATGGTTGAAGAATGACGAAAAACTTGTGGAAGCAAGGTGATAGTTTTGCATAAGAAACAAATGGAGAAGCAAAATTCACAAAAAAGAATGAGAAAAGTAATGCACTTGGTTGACATAGAATCCATAATGCAAGAATTTCAGTTTGCAGGGGCTGTTGAAGAGAGTGAGGCTGGTCAAGATTGCGGGTGCGAAAGACTAGAGCTGAGATATTCGAAGGGGACAACATGAAGTGAGGAGAGGATGATTCATTTCTAGAGCGATTGAGGAGGAGAGCAAGGAAAGGAAGCATCTGGAGGGCACAGGAGAGCAGAAGCCGGGCAAGGCCATGGCCATGGGGAGCGGGAGGGATCCAGTGGATAAGTGCCAGCGATCAAATTCGGAGAACAACGTGACTACCCCTACCCTGATTGACTTAGGAAGTACCCCTCTCGTCCAAAGGAAATTAGTGAGCTACACACCCCTATGATGGATGACCCACCCTAGCAATACTTTCATGCCCGTGATCCTCTTTTCGACCACCGGTACTTGTGATGCCCCTGGTACTCGAGCAGTTGCGGGAGCTAGTTTACGTAAGGACGACCACCCCTTCTACATAGTTCGACCACCCCCTGTATGAACATAATAATGATGGGATCGATCAGAGACTTTATAGTACTGCCGGTACACTCTAACTTGATGAATTATTAAACCGGCGTACTTTTCGTGCCACCTTTTTTTGTCTGAGGCTTGAGCGAGGCTGACTGAGAAATCACTCGTGGCCCCTCGCCGTCCGGGCCCGGCCGATTTCGCCGGGTCGTCGACGATGGAAGGAGGGATGGGTGAAGATGGAGGAGGAGGAGGAGGAGGAGGAGGAGGCATGACGATGGGGCTGGTCAGTGGCCTACAGGTGAGGGACACGGATGATCTCAAGATGCCTCATTTTGATGACTCAAATCATTGATACTCTCATAAGAAATGCTTGTTGATGAGTAGCAGTGCAGCTATTATTGACAAAGGTTCAACAGGCCTGCACGTCTCTGGTCTTGGTGGTGGTTCTGTTGAAAGATTTCTGGCCTGGCCCGTAGGTTTTACAATGACACAACTAGGATCTAATGGTTTGTCAGCATGATGTACGGGTGTATGAGCGTCGTCACGGCGTTGGTTGGGCTTCTCTGTTCTTGCTTTCCCAGGTATGCAAGAAAGGCTGCTTCAGAACTCACATCAGTGCAGCCTGCTGTACTCGTATTACATCCTGAACGCATTGGTGATGAAAAGATCTCGAGCCTGCTATGGAGATTGATGGTTCGCAGTGCCTGGGGCTGGTGGTTGACCCAGCAATATCTCAGATTCAAGAATGCGCGGTGAGGACAAAGAACGGGACCCAGTTACAAATGCTGGATTTGCTGACTGTGAAACAGAGTTGCACGCCATCAGATTGTTCTTGTTCCATCTGGCTGTACTAGCAGCTACGCCTTATTCTTGTATCGGTGACATCCTGGTAGAATCCTCTGCCTCTGTGCAGGGTTGGTCTTTCAAGTGTTCGGCATTGCGACAGCCATGTCGGTGAATAGCCAACCTGTAACGTCGGAGATGGCCGACCACTTTCAGAGGAGAGAAAACGAAGAGCAGAGGTTCGACCAGTTGGCAGAGATGCTTTGCTGAATTGATCTCAAGTGCTAGCCAACTTCCGACCAGAAGCAATCTGACAGAGCGATTGATCCAGAGAGGTGCAGATGCTGGCAAGAATCTTTTTGGATGACAGCTTTGCAGATCAAAGTGAACCGCCTGATGATGTAGAAAGAGGTACCACCGAAAGAGAACGAGCGGCAAAGAGGGACCAGGTCAGTTCGATTGTTTGCTGCGCTTCTTGTCTCAGAGAGCTGCAGAGGGAGAAGATATCTGAAGAGGCTCGAAGAATGGCAAAATCTGTGTTTGGATGAAACATGGTTCTCAGCATTCTGCTGCCGAGATGTATATTACAACTTCAAAGAATTCTAGTAAATTGTTTTCATGTCGATTTAAAAGCTCGACGTGTCAAATCCTTTGCCCAAAGATAGTCCAGACTACATCGCAATGTTAGAACAACGAAATCAGCGAGGTGGTAACAGCATACCGTAAGGAACTCTCGAGAGCCGGCTATCTTCCTCTTCATCTTCGTCCTCAGCTCTTCTTGTGTCAGCGGACGAGCATCGTCGTCCTTCTCCTCGTCGTCCGACTTCTCATCGCCGCTCTTGTCGTCCCTGCAGTTCACCATCACTCGCTACCTTCCACCTCCTAACCTCCTCACGTGTCGATCTTGGGCGGCTGCACTTTGACGAGGGAGGCTCCGACAGGACCAGCAGGGCCCAGCCCGAGGGGGCTCTTCGAGGACAGCGTGATACCTTTCTTGACGACCTCGTCGGGTACAGTGATGCCCTCATGAAGTAGCTCGTAGATCAGTTCGGAGGCTCGCTGCTCGATGATGCCAAGGAAGAACATCATGTTGTTGTCAGTGATCACCGGGTGCCCGTCCTCGCACTGAAAGCTGTTCTGGACATCAAGTAACTTTGAGCATCCCAGCTCCTCGTACATCCTCCGAATGATTTTGAGGATCTCTTGGACTTTGGAGGACTCATCTTCCTCGCGTTCGAGAAGGTCCTCGGCTTTTGCCTGCACCCTCGCAAGTTCTTCCTCTATCTCCTTCTGATACTCCAGCTTCTTGACGTCATTCTTTGAAACGTTTTCAACGGAGAACTCTCTTTTGATCTTGTTAACCTCTTCTGTTAATCTTTCCTCCTCCTTGTTCAGTTCGTTCACAAATCTGAACAATTTGAAATTTTGATTCTCAGCCTCCAAGAAAGTTTCCACCAACTCATCAATATCCTTCAAACCTGTAGCCTCTTGCAATTGCGTGAAAGCTCTTTCAAAGTTCTCCAAGTCTGCCTTTGAAGCCTCATACTTGGAAGTGATTTCATGCAGCTGAGCTTTCTGTGCAGCGTCATCTTCATGGAACTTTAACTTTCGTGCTTCGTCCTCAATCCGAGCTTTTACTTGCCTTCTTCGTTTCTCCTCGCTCTCCATCTCGTTGTCCAGTTTTCGCCATTCTGCATCAAATTCTTGTTGATTCTTGAGAAGCTCAGCTTGATAGTACTTAATCTTCTTCTGAGCCTCGTCCCTGGTTTCCAGAGCGACGTTGGTCACTTCAATTGTATTCGCGATCTCTGTTTTCTTCTGAAACAGAAGAGATTCCATCTTGGTATGGATTCTGTCAAACTGAAGCCGTTCTTTCCTGAGATGCTCAATCTCTTCCCTAAGTTTCTTATTCACCACCAATGATTCATTGAATCGTATCAAAGTTTTTTGCATTCGACCCTCCAGCATAGCAAGCTTCTTCTTCACCTTGCTTTCTTCTTTGTAGGACAGTGCCCGACAAACATCATTCTTATTTCGGAACTTTTCTCCGTTTGGGGCTAACCAGTGTGTCATGCTCCCTTCCTTGATTGTCTTGTACCCCATTGTTTCAAGCTCTTCCATACTCAGGTTTGCTGGTCTTGACTTTGCCCGTATTCGATCTTGTATATCGTCGATTTTACTTGATATCGACTCAATCTCCCGTTCAAGGGCTTCATTTTGCCTCTTGTCAAGTTCAAGTTTGGCCGTGAACGTGTCGCTCTGGTCGTTGAGTTTTGATTGGTACTCTTCTAGATCCATGAGGGTCTTGATGCTGGGCCTGCTCATGTCATTCACTTTCACACGCAGACGTTCATTTTCTTCTCGGAGATGTTGCTCTTGTTTCCTGCAACATCCGTCACTTTCATCCCATTCACGTTGCCTCGTATACTACCTCTGATATTCCAATTTGCTCTCGCAATCTTTCTTCAACTGCGAGTTTTCTTTTTCAAGGAGTTTCACCACTCGTCTCAGCTGCTTCAACGCTACAGCAGCAGTCATGAACATTCTTTCATAAGTATTCCTCACCTTTCTGCTCATCAGGCCCTGGAGAACCCCCGATCTGTTCAGGAAGATCCGTGAGAAACGTCGGCATTGTCACTGGCAGGGAAATCGATCCGTGATTCAGACTTGTGCTCTAGACAGATCTAGATCAGTCAGAAGACTTGAAGGGAGATGGAACATGTATACCTTGATTATCTCATTATGAGGCTTAACATCAGGTCATTCCCTTGTATCTTCCAAGATGCATCAGACCTTGAATGTATGACTGTCAGTGATATTATTCCTCCACTTGTCACTTTTGGTTGTTCTGGCACTCACGAAATACATGCTCCACTTTATCCTACCCATGGTCTCCCACCTCCTCTCACCCTCTTCATCTTACATACACCAAAACCTCTCTTCAATCCCTTATTTTCTCCTCCGCCTTATCTATGGCTTATCATTCTCCTTATTCGCTATCTAATCATCAAATCCCTTGTATCTGTTTCTCGCTTCTCTTTCTACCTTTCATCGCTCTTCTTCTTCTTGCTTCTTGCTTCTGCTTCGTCTTCTGCTTCGTCTTCTGCTTCTGCTTCGTCTTCTGCTTCTGCTTCTGCTTCTGCTTCTGCTTCTGATTCTCCTTCGTCCTCCTCCTCCTCCTCCTCCTCCTCCTCCTCCTCCTCCTCCTCCTCCTCCTCCTCCATCTTCTTCCTTGCCCTCCTCGTTCACGCATCTCCTACTCACCATGATTTCCGTTAGGCTCGGACCTACCCCTTCCCTTTTCACCCCCACCCCCACCTCCGCCTTGTTTGATGTAGATAACTACCCTACCCCCTTATTCCGATGTTTCTGAACCCCCTTCACTTCCAGCTTCGCTTCCAACTGACGGCGGGGCTACGCTCCTAGAAGGGAGTACAAGGAAGGAAGGGAGTACAAGGAAGGAAGGGAGTACAGCATACGAGGATGACTCGTACTGTACAAAGGAAGGCAGAGAGGTCAAGTAGAGGTTGATGAGACGGAGATTCTATCAGTAAGCAAAATACAAACATTCACTACGTCTAGGCATACAAAGATGATCTAAGATTGAGAGGTCGATGTTACAAACAAGTAGGGATCAATGCTCCACGGTGTTCCGTTTAGCTGTCCTCTTAGAAGCATGGTAGAAATCGGCAATCGCTCTTTGTTCTCTCAAGGCTTCTTCCATGAGCTTCTTGAATTCCGATTTCTCCGCTTCCAAGTGAGATTGCTTCCTCTGAAGAGTTGCAATCACGTCCATTGAGTTTTTCTTGAATTGCTTCAAATAAAATAATTTCCAAAGATGAAATTCTTTCCAGAGCAATGGAGCCAATGTTTGCTTCAATGAAAACCTCAGATGTTGTATTTTCATCTTTTGGAATTCACATTTCAATTCCAAGAATCCGACTGACATTCGCATATAGTCAATGTTCCACAATAGGTGAGCATTGAGTGATTCGAGATATTCGATTTCGCTGCTTTGGTCGTCGGCATGTCTGCATGTAGATGCATGCACAAGTTTGCATACAGCAAGCTGAAACTCCTTGAAAGCGAAGAACATCAGGGAATCATCGTATTCCTTCCTGCATCGCCTCGTCTCCTTTCCTACTTGAGCTGCAAACTTCCACTGCGCCAGCCACTCTCTCCATCTTTCAAAAACTTTGCCAGCGATGATGCTGTTGATTGCTATCTGCTGTCCCCAAGTCCCGATGATGGCCGACAGAATCATACGGCGAGTCTGGCTAGTCAAACGAGATGAGATCAAGTGATACTTGGCGAGCCGCTGACACACTTCCTCCCAACCTGTGAATGCATGCTTTATCAAGCAAATCTCACGCTTCCGTAGAAATCGTGAAAGTTGACGACCCGAAAGTGACAAGTCTTGAAATCTTTTAAAACTGCGTCGAAGAAAGCAGACAGTAGGAAAACACAAACTGAACTGACTCGCAGACATCTGAGCAGAGCGAGCGAATGCTGCACAACTCTCAAACATACCTCTCAGTGCGTGTGCTTTCAACCTTCGATCCAATCTCCGTTTGCACAAATTGAGCGATGCTTGAAGGAAAGTGCTTCTACAAGCAACTTGTCTCCACACTGAGATGCTCGTCTCACACAGCATCGAATCCATCCTTGCCTGCATCGCCCTCGCTGCCCTCAGCCCTCCTCTCGATACCTCTACCGCCTCCCGCAAAGCCCTGATCGCCGCCCTACAGGTCCCTTGCTCTACCCGCTTCAGCTCCCGCTCCGCCAGCCTCCTCGTCCTCTCTTCCTCCCGCCACTCTGCCATCGCCCGTCTCTGTAGCCGCCTGCTCGACTGGCTGCACAGAGCTCTTCCCCGTCCCGATAGTCTCCGGCGGTATCCTGCCCAGCCTGTCCACGCGCGCAGGCAAGTGCTGGCTGTGTACTGCCGCGCTCGGCCGAGGAGCGTGTCGCGTACGCGACGGAGGCGCTTGGCAGAGAGGCTGGCCTCGGCCCAGCGCTGCAAGGTCCTCGACATACAACGAAACAAAAGAGACTTTGACATTCGAGCTTCGTAAACCCTCAGAAACGTTTGATACCGTGAAGATCGTTTCCAAAGACCAAATGTTTTGCGATACATGTATTTGATAGATTGCTGAATATTTCGTTTCACCTCCACTTTCAGATCATTCAAGTATTTTGAAAGATTTTCTTGGATTAGGCGAATCCAATGGAAGAAGCCGACCCTCATATGCTTTTTTTGCTGATTCTTCACAAAATTTTGAAATTGCTTGCGGATTCGAAGAAGATTGCTCCAAGCATTTAACATGCATTTTGAGGTATTGAAAATTCGCTTACGGCAAACAGATTCATTCCGAGACTTCATCATCTTCAAATGACCGGAGAATTGCCTTATTGTGATGAAAGATATTGTTATACAAGCTAAACGTTTTTTGGTTGTGAGCAGCGTGCACACCATGTTTGCTCGTTGTCTTCTATAACAATGGAATGCTAGGGAGTGTAACGCTTTCCTGCAAAGATTTCTTCTTCGTTTCATATTCAGTCGAAGTCGACGAGACTCATAAAGAAACAGCCTTTTCCACGAGAATAGGATCCGATTCAACCAATGCAACTCGATCTCCCTTATTATTCGATTCTGAAAAATTCGCTCCATTTGCACTGACCTGGAGAAACTGCACCACGCCACATACCCTTGTGTTACAGTCTTCAGGTCTCTTCTATCAACCAGAACCTGTATACTGGCAGAATTCGACTTTTTGATGTTTTTCCCTTCTTTCCAACTGTTGAGCATTCTATGTTGCACACGAGCAATCATCAACTGCTTCAAAAATTGTGATCGTTTCTCGTTCATTCGTTCACGCAATCCATGCTCAAAAAGGGCTCTGAACACATGCTTGTAACAACAAGTAACCTTTCGATGCTGTATTTGCTCCACTTTCTGCACATATTCGATATTTCGTTCCACAACCTCCAACCATTTTCGAAAAATAAGATATTTTCGACTTTTCCTGTATTTTCTGAGGTGAGATTTCAATGCAATGTTCAGCTTTCTGCTTATTTTAGTAATAAATCTCCAACTATCATACCCATTGCGCAAACTTGACCTGCTTGTAATAAACCGAAGGGAATTGTGAAAGTTATGGAGCATCTTTGTGAACGAGATGAAACATCGAAAGAATCGAGCCAAACACCAATTCTGAGATTTCAGAGCTACTACTGACCTTGCAACTTCCACCTGCTTCAGACGAACACATTCAAACTTGAAACTGTTCCAAGCACGGAAACACAACAACGAGTTCGAGATGCGGCTTATCACTTGTCGTTTGAGATGATGTTCAACACGTCCAGCTGGAATGCGACTCTGATCGATAAGCCGCAAAGATCGAAAGAGCTGCCAACGTTTGAAGAATGCTTTTAGCAGCTTCAATCTCTTCCAATGAAGCAACTTCAGCTCAATTTCAGCTGGAATAGAGGGAGATTGAGCCAGCTCTTCAACGTGCTCCCGAAGCCACCTCTTTCCAAGTTCTCGCGTCTGCTTGGCCCATATGACTGAAGACTGTAACTCCAGTTGGTCCTCAACGATCTCTTGCCTTTCCTGTCGCACGTTCCAATGATCAAAGTCAGCCTCATCCGAACGAGTTGCACATGAATGCCAAAGGCGAAAGAAGTGAGAAACAAAATATCGATTTTCCTTGTGTCGAATAGCGATACGTAACTCCAAAACGAAGCGGCGGATGCTGCGATCGTTCTTCGAGACCTTTGTCACGATTGCAAAGCAATGAAATGCTCTTTGCAGGTGAGAGATTTGACGAGCATTTAACATTTCAATCATCTTTGAAGATCTGATCGCCTTCTCTCGGCTTCGGTGGTTGCACATACGATCCCAACACTGGAAATATGTACCATAATGAAGCTGCCACAAGCTTCTCATTCGAGACACCTCTAGCCATTTACGATGCATACAAGAAAAACGATTGAGAAGAGCCCATTCACGAAGCACCAAACCTGCAAACAATCTCTCCTTCGCCCTTAAACACTTATTCACAAACAGCTTCAATTGAATGTTCTGTCTGACCGATCCCTGCCATCTCCCCAGAGCCTGCCCCGCCTCCTTCCGCACCCACCGTGCCTGCATCGCCCTCGCTGCCCTCAGCCCTCCTCTCGATACCTCTACCGCCTCCCGCAAAGCCCTGATCGCCGCCCTACAGGTCCCTTGCTCTACCCGCTTCAGCTCCCGCTCCGCCAGCCTCCTCGTCCTCCCTTCCTCCCGCCACTCTGCCATCGCCCGTCTCTGTAGCCGCCTGCTCGACTGGCTGCACAGAGCTCTTCCCCGTCCCGATAGTCTCCGGCGGTATCCTGCCCAGCCTGTCCACGCGCGCAGGCAAGTGCTGGCTGTTTGCTGCCGCGCTCGGCCGAGGAGCGTGTCGCGTACGCGACGGAGGCGCTTGGCAGAGAGGCTGGCCTCGGCCCAGCGCTGCAAGGTCCTCGACATACAACGACTTGCTGATTGCTTCGCGAGGCGCAACGCCAGGCGCCCTGAGGCTCTTGTACGCCTGACAAGATACACCCACGCCTGCCATCTCCCCAGAGCCTGCCCCGCCTCCTTCCGCACCCACCGTGCCTGCATCGCCCTCGCTGCCCTCAGCCCTCCTCTCGATACCTCTACCGCCTCCCGCAAAGCCCTGATCGCCGCCCTACAGGTCCCTTGCTCTACCCGCTTCAGCTCCCGCTCCGCCAGCCTCCTCGTCCTCCCTTCCTCCCGCCACTCTGCCATCGCCCGTCTCTGTAGCCGCCTGCTCGACTGGCTGCACAGAGCTCTTCCCCGTCCCGATAGTCTCCGGCGGTATCCTGCCCAGCCTGTCCACGCGCGCAGGCAAGTGCTGGCTGTGTACTGCCGCGCTCGGCCGAGGAGCGTGTCGCGTACGCGACGGAGGCGCTTGGCAGAGAGGCTGGCCTCGGCCCAGCGCTGGAAAGTTCGCAATTGTGTCCATCGAAGGTGAGATTGTATCATCAGCATCAGAGCTGTTTGATTTGAAACCTTTGATCGAGACTGATTTTTCTCTATGGCCTGTTGCTGCATGAATGATTGTTTCCAGAGAGTGAAAATATTTGCCGTGGCTGTAAGTACGGAACAAGATAAGGCCAAAGCATTGGAAGTCTGTGTCTTCACAGGATATATCTGTTGAATATTCAATTGTATATTGAAATGATTAGATCTTTGCTCGAAATTGCAAAGCTGATGCCACAAAATCCATGTTCTCAACACATTTGTTTTGATAACTCCGTCCTGTTTTGTTGCTCTTGAATGCAAATATTGCTTCAAATCATTTTTTTGGAATATCCCTTTTCGAAACGCGTGCACAACGTTTGCAACCAGCTTGTGCCGCCTCCTTGCAAGCATTTGAAATATCACCTTATTTTTATAAAAGACATTGGAGAGCAACTTGAGCCATTTTCTAAATGTTGAGATCAAACGCTTCAAATTCCATGTTTTCCTAACCTCAACAGAGGCAATTTGGTTTCCTTTCACGTTCATCCATAAACATCCAAATGTTCGTTCCAAAGAAGTCCTCATTTTATTATCCCTTATCCATGTAATATTGTACAATTTCCATTGACAAATTTGACAGTAAAGTTTCAGATATCTGACCATACGTTTCAGGAGGACTCTATAATGTGCCATCTGAATTTTGGTTTTGCAAGCTTTGAAAAACAAATCATGCCTTCTGAATTCTTTCCAGTAGAAAACGGCTTGCAGAAGGCAAATCTTTCTTTTCTGGAATCGAATACAGCAGAAAGTTTCGATTTTCATCTGAATAGCAGATCGAATAACCATTTGAGCATGGATGGCATCTTCGATGGCCCTCTCCAATGATTCAGTCTGACGTCTCCTCAAATTTCTCTCCCATGTGACAAACGAATAAAATTTCAAGAAGAAGTCGTCAATGTCCATGCATGTCTGCCATAGTTTGATTGTTTGTCTGCCTTTGCAATGGTCCACGAATGATGTGAATGCTCTCAGTGCGAGAAACTTCGAATCAACACCATGAGATCTCCTGCAAAATCTTCGATATTGGTGGAAGGATCGCCAAGTATACAGGGCACGATGTCTTGTCTTGCTCTCTCTCACTTGTTTCTTGGACCTTACAATGCTGTTACGTCCCTCTGTCCGAAACTTGAACTCCAACCAGTGATTAAAATTCAAAGACGTCAGTCGTTCAAGTCTCTGCGATAGAGTCTGTATAACAAGTAGGTAGTCTCTCACTCTCATCGAGCTATGCTCAGCGCTGAACACTCTTCCATGCAAACCACAGATGTTGGTTGAAGGGATCTCCCTCTTGTTTGACAAGTGCAAAGTTGTGGACAAAATCTCTCCCCTATCCCAAGGACCTGATTTGAGTGCTTGGAAGCACTCGAATAATACGTGGTCGTTTTGCTTGGAATATCCGTGCATGATTGAAATCCACTTTGTGCAAATTTTGGTATATGAAGTTCTCATGGATTTTTGCAATCCTGTCCAAGTTTGAGTCACAACGCGTGTGACATTCTTGTAGCTCTCATTTTTCTTCACATTGTAGATCCATTCGCGCAATTCTAAATTCCTTGTTTGACTTCGGGACAAACTCAACAGGACTGCTGTTGACTGACCGCAAATCATTCCTTCAATATTGCTTGTAACTGTCACTGTCTGAGAACCATGACTCAATTGCTGGCATATCTGTTGTAGTTTTGCGTTTATCTTCGCTTCAGACTCATTTTCACTCAATTGTATTGCATAAAGCCTTGCTTGTTTAAAGTCAAGTATTGGGAAGAAATCTTTCGCAACAGATTCATGACTTATAGCTAATTTCTCTTGAATCCAGTCAATCAAGATAGGATATTCTGATTTGTTTCTGCCTTCACTAGAAACCTTGATCCAGCATAAAATCCAATGCTTTGGACCCCAGAAACGATCCTGGACTATCGAAATCCATTTTTCAAAGCAACATTTCTTCGTGCTGTCCATGTGATGAAGATAAAACTTACGTGCAATCAGATGATTCATCACAAACTTGCTCCAGAGCCTCACGACATGCAACAAAGACAGCAACCGACGGAGACGCTCAGTTCTGAGAGCAAAAGCTCGTTGCCTTTTATGATCGTTCCATTTGAAAAACCACACATTGAAGCATCCTAGAACAATAGAATGCTTCTTGTTGTTTTGAAGAATCAAGAGCATATGAATAATGTTCACCGATTGTTGCTCAGGTCCTTTCAAGACAGCGACGACCTTAGAGAGCAGAGAGCGGGTAGATCTCACCTGAATGGAATGTTGCAATCTCTTATGCATTTTAAACTCCATGCACATGTTGTGCCAGCTGCCAAATGAGGTTGAGACCATCACCTGATGTTTAGATTCTATGCTTCTGCAAAGTTCAGAGACTTTTCCACATCTGCTCACTCCTTCTTGATGAGAGATCCTGAAATATGTTCTGAAGCTAGAAAAGAAACGATTGCAATGCTTGCTCCGACCCCATCTCATGGTTCGGACAACAAGGATCCAGCAGTCAAATATGTCTTTCTTCGCTGTAATTTCTAGCCTATCAAATAGTGAAAGTATCCCTGATTTTAACCTTTGTTCAAAACAACAAAAACCTTGATTGTGCATTCTTAATCGATGCCAGCTGCTGAAGATCGATCGAGTTGACTTTTTCGCATTATCTTTGATAAAGTTGGCGATGTACTTGAGTAGATGATAGTTTCTTAATAGGGAAAATTTAGAGACAAGTTGGGAGTGACAAGATCGCTCCTGCATCAATTTTTCTTTCAAAGCGTTGATGGTTTCCCTGAAATTTGCTCGATCCCTCACTACAGTATCTTCTAGAGCGTTTTTGATCATCTGTACGTCCTTGGACTTTGCCATATGGCAATCAAGCTTCCAAGTGAAAAATATCTTTAGCTTGTAGAATTCTTGTTCAAACTTGGACTCCCGATCGTAATGTGCATTGATTATGTCAATGGATAGATCATTCGTTGTGAGTAATGTACTCCGCCTCGTCAAATGGCAAATTCCTTTCACAGCTCGCTCAGGCGTGAGGGACAACATTTGCGATATCAATGTTGAAAGTGAATATTTGTAATGTATTGCTCTTGCAAAGAGAATGATCGATTGCTGAAGCAGAAAACATTCATAGAAGCTGTTTTTCATCCGAGAAAAGGCGAAAACGAGTATGAGCTTGCGTAAGTGTTTGACGGCAAAGATTTCTATGCGTTTGCACAGTCCCTTCCTCAAAATCAATCTTTGCCAAAATATGAAAGCACTCTGTAGTCGTGACAAGTGGGTTTTAGAAGATTGAGCTTTCATTTCTGTTTGAAAATGGGTGGCAAACATAATATATTCTTTCCAAGCATGAAAACTAATTTTCTCCTGATAACGGAGTTTACTTTCCAGATATGCAATGTACTTCCATGCATTATTTTGACCAAGTTGTTTTGAAGCTATGCAATCCACTGACCATGCACAGAACGCATGCTTTTTGTGCTTTAAGTTCCAAGTTATTTCTTTATCCTCAACATATCTCTTCGCTTTCATCAACTCTCGGAAAGCAGTAAAAGATCGCTGACAAAGAAATCGTTTTCCTACAGAAAGTTGCAATTTGGTCACCATTCGAATGAACTTCTGCAGAGTCAGTGTCAAGCGCCACGATTGAAACGTTTCTGACTTTACAGACTGCGAAAATCTAATCCGTTGAATCTTGTCTGACATGCCTGCACGTGTGCGATCAAGTTCACAAATCCACATGGATGTAATCCATTGGCGAAAGAAAGCCGATGATTTTTGCATGGATCTCCTGCGAATAAGCATCTCCTTTTTCAGATTGAAATGCAAACTTTCCAACTGCTTGACTTTATTCAACATGCTTCCAACTTTCCCTCCCAAATAAACTCTGCAAAATGAATTGAAGTATGCTGATTTCATAAAATTCACATTCTCCATGTTTAAGAATTTGTAAGAAGAAGTCAACGATTGTGATTTCCAAGTCATCAAAGCCTTTGATGCTCCGAGACGATGTTGGAGCAATTCAATTTTTGCAACAAATCTTAATGTGATTTCAGAAGAGGCATTCGCAAATCTCACCCTTTCCCGCAAACAACTCAAAATCATTCTCCGATACTGTTTGAAGCTTCTTTGTACAAGCAATGCAAGATCTGTGCAAGAATTGCAGATCATTTGCAAGTTTTTGAAAGACCTCATGATTAAGTGTACATCATGTCTCCAAATACTTTGATATTGTTTCCTTATGATAGAAAACGAAGATATCTTGCCTGTCAAAATTCCAGATCGAAGTGTGCTGTTTGTACTCACTGATTGTCTTTCCAGTGCACGTACGACTGAAAGTAAGATGTCACCTTTCCACCTGTGTTGCTGCTCTTGCAATAAGACAAATTGCAAACACATCTCTATGTCCGATTCCATGTCGATACAATCGATGTCAAAGTTGCAACATGGAAATGGAATTTTTCTCTGAATACAGAAACTCATTATCGACCGATTGAGATCAATCAAAACATTTCTCCTGATAAGCTCTTTTCCATACTTGTATTCTCGTACATCAAATCTTCTCAGAGTCAACCGGCAATCAATGTTCTTGCAGAATCTTTGGACATAGAGGCGCTGCAATTTGCCCTTCTTCTGGATACATTGATTCCAAGAATGCAGCACATTACGCAACAATCGATTCTGCATCCTTGAAATTGAATTCTTCAGCAATGAATACTTCCTGTTCTGCAGCCTCCATTCTTCAAACTGTAACCTGTACACGAAAAATCGTTCTTAGTGCATCTTTGAACATTTGACAAGCTATCATTCTTACCTCAACAAATATTGGTTTGCTATGCTGACCTTTGTGAATTCGAACCATTTGAAAAGTGAGTTCATGATCTGCAAGTTTTGAATTACACATACTTTTTGATTCGAGGAAATCGCAACTCACACGAAAAGACCTGACGGACTCTGTTGGAGAGTCTGTGTAATTCAAACTGAGCTCCATTTTCTCACTCTTGTGATACCAAATTTCAGGACAGGTTTTCATCTGCCCTCAATTCGGTATAGAGGAGGAAGGCTACATCGCCTGTCTTGTGAATGAAGTCAAGGATAAGCGTCAAGGTACATGAAGTTCATTCTCTTCCATCGATCGCATTTGAACTACTTGCTGCAAAAATTCCACTCCACATTATAGATGCAGTACTAGCTTGTCCTCGGGTAGTCAACATGACTCCATCAGCTTTTTTAAAATCTAATCATTCCATCTATTCGATTCGCCAAATCTTGTCTTGCGCCCTTTAAAATGCTACTCTTTCGCTACCTAATCCGCCATCGAACTCGCCGCACTCTCTATCTCAAGATGCCCGCCGTTCTGCCCAAGGTGGAAACGACTACACTTCTTCTTTTCTGTATATCCTTCACGTGTGTGCAGCATTCTTCAGAGTCTCTTCCTTTCTTGTCATATTCTTGTTCAATCACACTTCCCCCGGGCTTTTTTTCTCCCGGTTTTGCCGAAGTTCATCGTCAGCGCCAGCAGCAACGGGGACATCAGCAGCAGCAACATCAGCAGGGGATGATAATACCATCTCAGCATCACATTCTTGCTCTCTACTCCATCGTCATTTTCTCCTTGCCTCATTCGAACGCTCTTATTACTTTCCCCGCCATTTCGCCCTGTCCACACACTACGGTACTCCGACCAGGCTGCTGCCTTTAAGAAACATTCATACTTGACCTAATCACTCGCTGCTGCCCCACTACTAACTCTCTGACTCGGGCCTACTGACATCTTTAAAAAATTATTGAGCAATTTAGTGGGCGACGGGCCCTGCGCTTGTGATTTCAAGCTCGCCTCACCCTTGAGTGTTGGAGACAGAACACGGTATGCCTAATGCATTTTCGCTGCCTTGGATTGTTTTTAAAACGGGCTCGTGACCGAGGAAGGAGGAGGCCGCCCCAGGGCCATGCACGGATAAATGGAATGCGATGAATGGGGGAGGGGCGGCCAAGACGTAAATGCTGAAGGAACTTGCGGGCATCATACGAGTTGAGCCAGCAATCAAAGTTCAGCAGACATGTTATCATTGATGTCGTGTGTTTCACTGATTGCTTGCTTGATTGCTGAACGATTTTCATATACATCTGCCTGAGGAGAACCAGTGGTCCACATACATGGGGTTTAACGTGCGGGTGGTCGTCGTGAGCACCTGTAAGTTGATCTCTTCTCTTCCTTGATGTGGATCGTCAGATTCAAGATCGGAAGTATGCATCTCATCCGTGCTCAGCATTTCCTTCTCTCAAGCTCGATCACTTTGTTAAATAAATTGTACAATAATCTGCTGTAACTAAACGTCTCTTTCCACTCAAAAAAACTGACTGGTAGCGTATCTCACAAAATAGATGGCCAAACAAGCATGTGGTGTCGTGTCATACAAATCACCTGAAGTCCCGGACCATTTCGCCCTCCCCTTCCAGCCCAAGGCGGCAGGGAGCGCTTCAGATCTACCGTTACAAAGAATAAATGGCCAGCACGGCAAACTGTCACAAAGAGCCATGCGCAAATCTTGGCAGCTGTCATGATCACGAGATTGTACAACGACCTGTGCAAGTAGAATATCAGAGATTGTCATGGTCAACAGCATCGCAGGTTCTTACAGCCGCTCTTTTGAATGTCATTCTCAAACTTGTGCTCATTCCCGTTCAAATCCTGTACCATCAGTCACGACGAAGGCATCTAGGAATTCTCTGTCACCTTGTCCATAGTCGGAGGCAGCTTGGAGGTAGCTTCTATGACAAATTCAGGTATTTCCAACAATCATTCGTGAATGTACCCTGAGGAGGCTCTGGCGCAGCTTCATATGATGGTTTCTCTCTACTTGCTTGCTCCTTTCTTGTCCGTCGTTCTTCCACCTCTTCTCTCTTCTCATCTCTAGCCGTCAGCGGCGGGCCAGACTTAGCCTGCGGGCTTGAAGTGGCATACAGGTTCTCATTCTGGGGATTGTTTTGTTGAGCAAGAGCCGTGGTGGCAGGGCTGCGCAGGCTTCCAGATGAACCTCTTTCATCCCCTGGGGTATACTTTGTCTCCCTTCGAGCTTCATACTTGCTGTTGCTTGACTTCTGCAAAACAAGCGCAGTCACATGAGCTCAATCAAATGCCGGCTGCAGCATAATCGAACATGACAAAAGCATTCAAGGGAGAAGAGGAGCAAGAATCTTACATCGGGTTGTTCACTTCTTTCTGTCCCTTTCGCCGATCTACAAGAAAATGATCAGCAATGTTGTAATATGACACTTCCGAGGGAAGTATTTCACCTGTCAAAATACGAGTCTTGGCTTCCCTTCAAGAATAACGTCAGTTTTGGCAAAAAGATATCATCACAAGTACAGAATGAGATTGTCGAGAATCTCGCTTCACACGGTCTACCCCATTTAGCTGAGTGAAAAAAAAATCAATTTGCTTCAGAACAATATGCCAGGGTACCTTGACTCCACTTCCAGATACATAGCTGGATGACCTTCCTCGCTTTTCACTGGAGCAAGTTTTTCAAATCATAGTTCGAGTTGCCAGGAATTCTTGCAACCTTTCCACCCTGTTGCTCTCAGACCTCAATGCTCCATGACGCGGTGTCATGACAGAGCTGTAAATCCTCAACATCATATTAAGTGCAAGGAATATCATAGCACTTCACCTGCTTCCATCAAAGCGGACATTCCCCGTTCCATCATCATATGCCTCTGTTTCAATTACTTTGCCATCCTATAAACCAGAGTGATCAGCATCATTTCAATGTGCGCAAACTTGCGCGAATTCCATTTTTGCACAGACCTCAATTTGTGATATTTGATGTTCATGAGTTGAAACATCTCGATCTCTCCCTTCAAGCACAAGTTACGAGTGGGGCACAGAAATCGTGCTGGGCACAGGGCTCACCATTCCCGGGACCTCGACGAACAGATCCATACGAGCTGTTGTTCATTCCATCGAAGCCCGGGTACCCTGACCCGACACGACTTCCTGGTGTCTCCTTTTTCGATTTGGAACGTCAAAAAAGCTAGTTATCAAAGCGCATTGTTGTTACCTGCTCCCAATCATATGCAGTCTGTTCGGCAATCCCTCCGCCCAACTTATATCCACAAGAGTCAAAAACAGAAACATGAAAGACAAAAGCAATCACCTGATCTAATAGCTGTACAAGATAATCATAATCTGGGCAGTCAAGGTAATCCAACGCTTGCAGATGCTGAAATGAAACATAACGAGGAATAACTGCAAGCAAGTCATTGACAAACCTGCATGAAGCTGAGGTATGTTGGAGGAAGATCGCGGACAAGCTCTGCGCTATTGAAATGGATTTTGAGAAGTCCAATCTAAAAGATTTGGAAGATTGAGGAAACTTCAAACTCATTGAATCGAAACCAAACCTCTTCTTTGTCCTTCAACTTGCGCCAAGGCAGTTGTCCAGTGAGGAATTCGATCAATACGTACAGGACTGACCAGAGGTCATCTCGGCGACTAAAAGCATTTTACAAAACAGCGAGGACCAAGAGCAGTGAGCACCTCAATTCTTTCGAAAGATGCGAATTGATCGAGGCATAACTGCAGCAAGTTGTCAGAATGCCTTTCAGGATAACCTGTCGTTACCGAGCAGTCCCTCTAAATCCAGCAATGTCCCGAGCAGGCCTGATCTGACCTGACGGGAGACGAAATTTCCTCGTCAAGCCAAAATCAATCATAACACACTGCTCTCTTCTTCCAGGAGCCTGACTTTGTATGAGATGTACGTCACCAGAGGATATATATTCACCAGGCCCATTGCGAAGTTAGAAGGCTTTACATCTCTGTGTAGGTACCCCAATTCATGAATCGCTTTGACAGCTTGAACCATCTGAATGCCAAGCCTGACAGTCGTCCACTAGCAAAAGGCTTCAAACAAATGCAATCCTCTGTACCCACAAAAGAATTCTTTTGACTTACCAGTGAAAATCTGCCATTCGGGCGTCTTCTTCTCAACTCTGTTCACGATTCGGACCACTCAATAATAAGGAATTGCTGGCAATGATTCACGAACCTGATAGATTGTCTCCAAGGAGTTCCATAACAAGATAGTTATGGTTTTCAAAATGCCCGCAATGCACGTAGCGACATGCAAATGGTGAATGTTGCAATTTCTTGAGGACCGCAACCTTTTTTTCTAGTCAATATGTGCAAAACAAAATGTCAAGGATTCGTCGTCACCTCCATTTTCAAGACTGCTTTTTTGTTGTCCCATCTCTGTTCATAGACGTCATAGACGAAGCTTCATTGAGTCTTTTGCCTTTACCTCAAGTTTTACTGCTACAGGATCTTGAGTGTTAAGGTCACAACCGCTGTAAATTTCTCCAAATGCCCCCTTACAACCAGTCAGGGTTGAAATTTACCAAGAAAGCCAATACCTGGCCTATTTTGCGGGTGAGTTTCCATCTTCCTTTCAGAACTGTGCCTTCGCCCACCATTCCGTCTAAACCGAAGACGTTATCCTACGGCTCAGCTTGTGCCATCCATGTTCCAAGATCAGCAACACGACAGCTAATGCTAGTTCCTGGAGTGACAAGAAAGCCAAAGTTACAAACATTCAGAATTGACCGAAATGCTTTGACAAAATTCTCCCATGGAATGTTAGGAATTGAAAGGTGATCAACACAGGATGATCTCTATATACTACAAACCATGACCAAACTCTGAAGATTACATGTATATGCTTCTATCCATCGAGTGGTTCGATCAGCCATGAGCGCTTTCTGCTTCCATAAAGTTGGACCGGATGCAAACCATCAGGTGTCCTACACTGCTCCTTCCAGTCATCACCCATAAGTTACTGGTCTGATTGTCCAAGCACTAGCTTGTATTAGCATTCTTCGTACTTGATTCGAATTCTGTCTATCTCATATGTACCTTTGTTTATCCCCATCTCTTCTCGAAGTCCTACACGCCTTCTCCTCGAGTTCTAATTCTATAACATGACTGATTACCCACATTCTTATACCAAATTCATATGTCCAAATAATACTCCTTGCTACGAATCAAAGAAATGGTGGTATGGTACTGCTAATCTGTTCCTGACACATGGACATGATCCAAAGTCTTCAGTTCCCGAGCCTTAAATCGATCTTGATACACACATTCGAAAAATATTATCCCCTGTTCCCATGATTCTTATATGGAGTCATGATGGATTATGTTTACATGTTTCAAAAATCTCCTTCTTCTTCGTTATTCCTACCCTCAGCATCTCCTCCTCCTTCTTCTCCCCCTCCTTACAACCTTCCCCCCTCCTTCCCCATGAGCGCTCATCAACCTCTGACCAATTGATGACCACCCCCACTACCTGGACCCCTTTTCCCCTTACACCCACCCTACTCGGGAAGTTGTCACCTACCCATCAGATTCTCTCCGCACCCTACCCGTACCCACAATGACCGATCACCCACTGTTTATCCTTGAATAGACCCACCTTTTCCCCTCAAAATACCCCACCACATCTGACCTCACCCTTCCGAGCTAGGCATCGATTCATCCCTGGACCCCTACCCAGAACTTTTTTGTTGATCGTCGGGGGTGGGTATCTCCACCCCTCCATTGCATAGCAAAATCACCTTTCCAAGTACCCCTACACTGACCTTCTCCCTACAGCCCATCGCAGGTTTGATTCGTACCATTGAAATATTGACTAAACACTTTTCAAAAACTTTTTATAACTCAATATTCAGTTACGGCAGTTACGGTGGTGAAGGGGCGTCAGGAATGGTGATGCCTACCCCTAGCCGGAAGTTGGCAATGGCGACGGCGACGGCGACGGCGATTGCGATGATGGTGAGTGAAATTTTATTAGAGAAAGTTTGACAAGTTGTGTGGCTGAGTGGAACGGGAAGGTGTACGGTGGAGGGAGAGATTGTGCGACAGAGGAGGGGAAATCATGCCGTAACTCAATCTTCCTTTGCAGTTAGCGCTGGGGATCGGCATCCTCAAACAGGATCTGAACCCCCTTTCCAACAGTGTGGACGAACCTGTTGGATTGTTCCAAGGAAATCAGGTGATTGATCAAGAAATCTGATGTGTTTTTCGCTTCTGAAGAATGGAAGTTGACTTTTTCCCATCAGAATGGGCGAATTTACCAGGAGCGACCGATATACAATGAACTTCAACCTCAATGGAACTCAAGAATGTCGAGAATTTATGCGAACACGCTCAACGGTTGGCAACAAAGGAACGGGTACAGAAGAGAGAACACCAGAGCAAAGATTCCTATGCAGAGGATAGCAGTTGATTTTGAAGATGAAATTACCCCCCTCAAGAGATCTGTCGAAGTTATTCAGGGCGAAATCAACGACATGCAATCAGAGATTGCCAACCAGCAGAAGTTGATCAATTCTTGGAGGCGAAGCCGCACCAATCCTGCCGTTACAGCAACTCCTCAGCTTCAGTTCAAGGTGCCGGGACCCATTGAAATTGACCATTTGAGTTTGCCTGGTGGCTCATACTCACTCAGTCTGTCTGATACGTCTGCCGGAAGCACTGCAGTTCTGCAGTCTGGTAATCATCAGTACCAGGTTGCTTTGCAGAGGCAGGCGAATACAAAAAAGGCAGCGATTCCGCTGTCCGAGATTGACAAAAGTGAAGCGAAGCGGGCAGTCAGGCTTTATCTTCAACAACGTGCAAAGGCATTGGAGGCCATGAGAAATTATCATAATTCGGTATCCTCCCAGCAGACCGACAAGGAACATGTGTCTAGCTCGTTGAGCTCAAAAGAGAAGTCGAAACACGCAGGTGGTAATGTGGGGCCGACCGCAGTGCAGAGCTTGAGGAGCAAACTATCTCGGCAGTTGGCAAGACAAGAAGAGGAAACCAAGATTCTTGAAGAAGCGACCCGTCTGAAAGCCAAAACTGAAGCTGCTGAGGCACAACATGCCAAACAAAGATTTACACGTTTCTCGAACAGTGTGGGCAAGGAAGCCAAAGATATTATCGCGAAGTTGCTTTCAAAGGATCTAAGAAGAAAATCTCATCAAGCGAGTGAACGGGAGGGAAAACAGGTCAACTCTCCTGTGATCTTGGCAACCGTAAACTAACGATGGTGAACAACAGGACCAAATGGGGAAGCAGGATCCACATCTACAACTCATCGACGAGGTTGATAGAGCACTGAAAAATCAACTCAAGAACGACCAAGTGTAGTACTTTAAATGTTTACTATGTAAAGTTGAAGACGTCAAACCAAGCTTCCGTTTCACAGTGTTGGATGATATATGTCCTTCTGCAGTATTAACTATAACTAAGAGGATCATGCAGAAACGAGCAACAAAACGAAACTTCGTTCAATGGCACAGTGTCCAGTGGATGCTTAATGTATTCATTGAGATCAAATTTCACGGCTCACGACAAGAGTAACGCAACCGCTTGCAAGCACATGTAAATGACGTTTGTGATCATCGTCGCACGACCTTGATATCATGCTGCTCTTCAAAATTTCTAAATTCTGTTGTCTTCTCACTGAATGCTTGTTCGAGATCCCGTGTCGCTTTGTCTAGCAACTGCTCCTCACTCTTAATTGCGGATAATATCGTGCTAACGTTCGACTGCATAAGAACCCCTCCGATGGAGCGATAGCATGAACGGTTACCATCATACTGAGCCAGAATTTCTGCAGTTTGTGCATGGGTATCTCTGTCTTCTGACATCACTGAAAGTCTTTCAGATATTTTCTTCAGTTCCTGTCGTCGTTCCTGGTACTCGTTCAAAAGTGCTTGGTTTGCTTCCTCCACTTTCTCACCACCGCCCCTAAGTGGCTGAATAACGGTTCGAGAAATTTGGACTAGTTTGGTCCTGGTGTCATGTAAACATTTGAAACTCCCTTGGCATTCGATGTTCAACGTGAGAACAAGAAAAGTTGCTGTTGCAACACGAAAGGGATTCATTCTCGTTTACTTCTGCTTGATACCTTCAGCGGCCTTTGCAGCAGGAACATTGTCAGAGAATTCGCTCAAGGCATCCGCGGTCTTCTTCATCTTAAAGATAGTGAATGAGTACGTTCCAAGTGCAAACACGGCCAAGGCCGCCGCTATCTGCTTATTCCTTGTCAACATTCCTGCATCCATTTTTCCTGCCAAGAAATATGAGGATCGGAGCAACAAATTGAGAAATGTTTGTCTACAGAAACAACATGAGAAACAGCTCAACTTCTGAAACATCTCAAGGTTTCATGCATCGGGGTATGTTTGCACGAACACACCATGAGTGACCAAAATCCAAGATATGCAATACTGTGGCATCCTATCAACGCTCCTTCTATGCCCGGCAACGTCAAGAGTGCTTTACTACATGCTCTCCATGTTACTTCTTATCTATCATCACGGTCCCTTCCTTTCTTCTCTACTGCATTGCTGTTCCTCGCCGCGATCAGGTTTTACATGACACTACCCCCCTGTATCCGACACCCCAGTATCGATCGAAAGTACCCCCCGTTGCAAGTAATCAAATCCATTTCCTGAGCCCTAGGGGTGATGACCATCACCCCCTTTATTCTCTTCTAGGCTGCGTCGACACCTGGCAAGCAGAGTCTACCCCTACTTATGATATAATGTATAGGTCAAAGTTATGGGTAGGGTAGTCGGATAGAACTTCTCGATCACCTAGCTGTCGGCATACTGAGGGTCCCCCGGTCCCGGCCCCCGGGCCGGGCCTTAGCCAAACTCACTGTCAGTTTAAAACTGAGTTAGTTCAAGTCTAGCCTGAGAGCCGGTGCGGCACTCGGCCCTCGGAGGCTGATCCGAGCCCCGAACAGGCTTCGGAACGGCGGACCGTCGAGTCAATGACAATGACATGGAACTCTCGGAGTACCGTCGTACTCCGAGAGTTCAAGTTACTGACGGTCAAGTTACTTCACAGAGTCACCCTGACACCGTCACTGTCCGGTCGCACCGTTGAGCCGGCGGAGGCCATACGGCGAGAAGAGAAAAGTCAGAAAGTACAATTTCATGATAATGCACTAGTCACTGAGTAGCTGCAACCGTGAGGCTGGTGGATTCGTGCCGCAGTGCCGCTGTCACAGTGCGGAGGCCAGTCAGCCTACAGGCTAGTACGGTCGCCGCCCATATCGTATCATAGTTTACTCTTTGGATCATATAGAGCTCATGACACCCAGCTCATTGCTAAAATTAGAAGGTAGAACCATCATATCCCATGTTCTCACGAGGAACGTCGCGGAATTCGATGTAGACCTTCATGACGAAAGTCATTCCTAAAACATCGCAAGACATTCGCAAAACATACTCGGTTTGAACGAATTCCAAAAGGTTCCTCTTGCAGAAGATTGCAAACTTCCTTGCTGACAGCCTGTTGACAGCAAGGATTAAATGATAATAAGCTTGTCCGATTGAAATGCTGACCTTGTTGTTCTTTCCATTGATGCTTCCGAGAGATGCCAACTGGCAAAGCGCGCAAGGCTCATCCGAACCTCCCCACATCATGCTCTGTCGCAACAATGGTATTAATATCAGTGAATGCCTTCGATACGGAGGCAAACCTGGTTGTCATTGATCTGAATGGCTACGTAAGAATCAGGCTTGCCTAGAGTCTTTGCCACGACCTGGACTTCAATCAATCTTTGACGATATGTAACAGGGAATAGATGGAACACATGTGTTGCATAAAGCAAACACGAAGTTCGCAAAAAGGGAAATCATGATAGTAAAATTAGAAGACGACAACAAGATGGAATTATCGATTGTGAAATAGCAAAGTCTTGTGCTTTGAAACAGAGAGCACAAGGAAACCAAGACAGCAGAAGGGAATAAGCAAGGTGAGGAAGGGAAAAGGGCTAGAGGGAAAGGATAAAGATCAAACCTGAGTGAGTTTGGTCATCAACTCCTTCTTCTTGTCGCTGCTGTCGACCTTGACGTTCGTTGAGATCACCAGACTCGGCATTGCTCCGCGGTCAGATCCTCTCCCCGAGACCGTGGGTGGTTTGCTGGATTGTAGAAGGGGTACTTTGCGTCTTAACAAAGTAGGGTGGGTGGTAGCACCTATCGTATGGTGAAGACAGTGGGGTGGGGTAGTGGAAAACAGAAAGTTCTAGACCTATCTATAGGGGGTAGGGTTATCCTTTTTGGGCGGTCTGAGGCAGGGTCTGAGGCAGGGTCTGAGGAGCACTCCGGACAAGAGGGGGATGAGGGCACAAGGCGTGGTGTTTCTTTGAATTTCAAATTCAACTGTTCCGCCGCCATGGCACCTAACAGAACAGCCCTACGGGACGTGTCAAACAAGGTGAGAGATGATACAAACACGAAACCGAAGAGAGAAGTCATGGATGTTAGGATGTTTTTGATAAGAGAGTATTCTTTGCTATCAAATCCACTTATACATGAAAGCACGGTAGAGTTCTCCCAGCTGAGATGTGTTTGAATGCAAACAGGACAACATATTGAAGCCCAGTACCGAAAAGCATCAGCAGAAAGTGAGAAGTGTATCAATTATCTGGTTTGAAAATGACACCTTTGCCTAAGTTTTTGGCACAGACACGTGATTATGCCATCAAACAAGCTTTGGAAAGGTATTCAGCCTTTCTAGCAGTGCACATGATTGACTCATGCTTCTATTGAAAGTGCTTCAAGCTCTCCAGTTCTTGAAGAGTTCAACCACTCACGAGTACCTTTTGTTTCTCCTCAAAACTTCTCTGTATCTACTTGTTGCTGATCATCAGCACTCACTGACTGTTCTCGGAGACTGGAGAACAATCCTTCGTCAAGCATGATTCAGCAAGTGAGACGAAAGAAGCGCTCGACAGCTGCATCCGGCAGCTTGATATGATTTCGTTGAAGAACAATAGCAACCAAGAGGGAGCAAGCAAACTCTCTCCTGCTCCACAGGAACGATCAGGTGCAACTGAAGAGAAATTCCTCACCCCAGGTATCTCAACCTACTTCAAGGGTGAGCGAAGAAAAACAGAAACTCATGAAGATAATTTTGCAGATTCTCAATTGGAAAGCTTTCAGCCTGATGTAGTGGCGACGGATCGAGCTGTTGCTACTCTGGGTAGGCTGTGTTGCATTTCAGTTGGTTCACTTTTCTCAATCCTTGCCCAGGCCTTGCAATGAGAAAGCTTCAAAAAGAGCTGAAAATGCTTGGAAACGAGCTGAGAGGTTCGAGTAAATCTCCCCGGACTGAGGCTCAGATGACAATGAGTGATACTTGTGGCCCAGAGGACTGCCTGGTTCGTCTTCGAAATTCACTCGATCTGTTACTTATGGGTTTTCTCAGAATTTGTCAAATTCCCAGCCGTGCGATGTATCAACCTCATCGCTGAGAGTCTGTCCTGGAACAGCAAAGAAAGGAGAGCAAGAATGGCGAATCAGTTCAGACTTCACTCAAGATCTTGATGCGTCGGTTCAAGAAGACTCGCCCTCTATGCCATGTGCGCATGACCAGATCTCGGAATCAACAGCCCTGCAGAACGAGTTGAATGGTCGGACTGCAGGTAGACTAAACCATCCGATGATGTACATGTAAAGCTGATCGTCATGCAGAGGTGCAAGCTCTGTCTTCACACCTGACTTTGGTCACCCAAGCTTTCAAGAGACTCTTGGCTTCCAAGGTCTGCCCGCTGGCTTACTGTACGTAAAGTTGATCTTGAGTCAGGATGAAGAGATTGCAAATTTGAAGGGCATGCTTCAAATCAGAAAGAATGGGTCGACACCAAGAGGAGAATTAGAGTCTTGTTTGTCTGGGAGCAATGAGGTCAGTTGCATCAAGCATGTTTCTTGTGCCAGCTTTTCATGAAGATCTGAATTTAGTTTGAGCAGGCGAGATCAAATTCTGACTTGATGATTTGTAAGCACAAAGAAAATTCTCCTCTCTCTGACGCTTAAAGGAACCTGCTTCCAGTGATGCATGCGGCACGCGATGCTTTAAGAGAGAAGGATATACAGATCAAGGTATGTTCCTACTCAGCCTGGTTATTGTGTCAAGATCTCACATAGAATCGCACAGGATTTGCAACAAGCACACTTGCAGCACATCTCGGAGCTGGAGAAGAAACACTTCGAAGAGATTCGTAGGTTGCAGACAGGAACTCAACCAAGAAGATCGCAGGAGACGCAGGTAAACAGCATGAGGACGAGAGTTCGATCATTGAGGTACACCACAGTGCTCTTTGGATGACGGAGAAACGATCACGTCAGTAGGAAGGCTTGCGACTGTGTACAACAGGTTGAAGATTTTGCCTGTCCCTCCCTCCTCACTAGAGCGTGCAGTGAGTTGATGAGACACGCTCAACGAGCGGAGGAGCTGCAAAGGCTTGTCGACTCTCAGCGGCTTCAGCTGAACAGGATGCATCATGTCTCGCAAGAGAGCATCTACGCCAAGTTCACCAAGGTGAGTCCAGCTGGACCTTCACCTGAATGTCACACTATTCCCAGATGACAGCTGATGGATCTAAGAAAGAAGCAGTTGACCCCCCAGGTTGGGTGACAATCAAAGCAGGTAACGAAAATATCTTCTTTCCCCACAACTTTGCTTCCTGTCCTGTAGCCTCCTTTCTTCTCGTCTTCTGGTAATTCTTGTTCTGCCTTGTGACTTCCTCCAAGGTATCAGTGAAACCAAGATCCTTGGTGACTTCTCTGGCCCAAAGCGATTCTCTACCTGAGCACAAGCTGAATATCCAAATTCTCAGCTGGGCCCCAGCTGACTCTTGTACTTTTTATAGCCCTTCTCCATTACTAACTTTCGGTGAGAATGCTGAAATGAGTCTCAACAAATGAAAATTTCATTGCGATAAATCACGAATCTTCGGGCAGAAAGCCGTAATGTTTCAACCCCTCCAGCACTCCGAAGGCATGTCTGACAGGGCGATTTGTTATTGCAGTTGAACTCGGTCTCTTGTCCTACCTTCCCGTCGCATGCAGATGCTCCTGCCTCTTCACTGCTAGCAGCTCCTCCTTGGCGTTGCCAACCATCACCCCATGAGGAGCGTCCTCAAACCTGAAGAAGCCGTGAGAAGAGAAGTGGATGCGATCAGAGAGGACATGGAAGCGTCGTTGCCAGAATCTCCAGCAACCTGCCCAAGGAGCGAGGTGAGAAGAACGGTGAGGGAGACAACACGAGAAATGAAGACTTCGGGAAGAGAGCAGGATATGGGGATTAGTAGATCTCACCAGACACTCCGAGGGCGAAAGATTCAGGAGTTTCATGACATGTTTCTGTGCGTTGCCTACAAAATCAACATCTTGAACGCAATTTCAAAGTTCTACCTTTCCCTGCAGACTTGGGGAGGACGTCGACGAAGAAACAACCTGTTGTGTTTGCTGCCATCTATGTCATCATGGGGCAGTAAGGCAGGTAGAGCACAACCAGGAACATCGTCTAGTCCAGAAACAGTTGTGTTCACATGATAAGAAACCGAAGCGATGTTCATAAGGAATGCGATGCGCGGCTGATGCTGAGCATTGTCCGTTTCGATCTCACGTCTCAGATCTTCTCTCAACTGCTTACGTGTCAACTCCCGTGTCACAGGCGACAACTCACCTGGTCCACGGTGAAGTCAGCCTGAGGGATCTTGAAGGAGAAGAGGAAGGGGTTGCCCATGGACTCCCTCTTCTCCTTTATGCTCCCGTAGCAGCGTCTCAACCTCTCGCTGCCCATCACACGTTGTTGTACCACTTCACGAGGACATGTCAGAGGGTCATGGTAAGGCTGTGACGGACACACCTGTCTTGTCCCAGTCTCGGTCTAGCGTTTGCTTCCAACCCTCGATCTCGTGATAGTTGCCGTCGCTATCACAAGAGTAGATTTGCGTTCCACATGCTCCAATGAAGAAATCAGGAGTGATAATGTTCCATTTCTCTTTCAGCACTAGGTAGTCTTCGAAGCTCCTGCCTGTGTTGAAGACAAGTTTCCCTCCTGCGCCTTGGAAGTTACATTTCGACCTTCGGCTTTCAAATATGTACCTGAAGTGCGGCAGGAACGCTCCCACAAGGTGTTAAAGGATGAGAGCGAAGGTTCATCTCCCACAAGGGTGTCGTCCATGTCCGCAATAAGGGCAAACCTCGCCACATCGTCTTTCCCTCCCCTCAGTCTCAAGGATACATAGGATTTGCCATGAAGAGATGGCGAGGATGAGGTAAGGCAGGTAAGAAGAGAGGACGAGGACGAGGACGAGGACGAGGACGAGGACGAGGACACATCCACCAGCGCTGAGAGCATGGTGAAGAGCGTTAGCATCCCGCCCATCATCCCGCTTCTGAGCATGGACTGACTTGGAGGCGTAGTCGGCCTGACAAGGCGTAAGTGCCCCGGGCCGGGCCCGACGACGAGGGGCCGGCTGGGGCCGGCGGACTCGGGGGCACTGATTCGGCGTGTTAGGTTTGGGGGACAGCAGTCAGCAGAATGAGCAAGTGGTTCCGAAGTTCTGTCCTCGACTCTCCTGATTATCCTCATACTGATTTAACTTAACTTTGAGTAAAGTTATCACTACTCGCTCTGGTTTCTTGCGGTACTCATTGCTTCATCGAATGTTTTCATTCAGAGTTAGGAATCTTATTAGCAGCAGCGAGTGACATGATACAAGGCTGGCCGCCATCACGAGCCGATCAGGGTCAGGAGAGCTTCATCTGCCTCCTGCGAGTAGGCCCCACTCGTCTGGCTCAGCAAGGCATTTCCCAGCTCCGTCCTTGCCTCTTCAACAGCTCGAGCGAACGTTCCCTCCTGGAGGAGCATGGAGACGAGCATGATGGAGGCTCTCCTCATGCGCACGGGGCCCTTGTTGAGCATCGCGACGAGCATGTGCGTCACCTCGCTCTCGAAGTTGTTGCGCCCAGCCCCTGAGACGGTGGCGATGGAGGAGGCGAGAGGAGCGCGGAGGTCTTGGATGAAGGCGCGAGGGTCCTGGAAGGAAGGGAATCTTGCTAAGACATCAGCCAACCTGGTAAAACCTGCGCTGGGACGTGAGAGGGAGGAGGAGCAAGGTTCAGCTGCTCACCTCGGTTCTTGCAAGCGATAGAGAGCTCGTTCATCGTCTGACCATCATCATCAGCACCGGCCGCTCGATCACTCTCCTGCCTTACCTCCCTGTTGTCTTCGGAGCCCAGCTGGTCACCCGACAGGACCTTGGGGAGCTGGACAACCACGCAGAGGATGGAGTGGCGAGGGGTCGTGTCGAGGAGGATCCCTCCGGACAAGTTCATCACTTTGAGGAGGAGGCGGGAGCAGGCGTCGTAGCTCTTCTCGCTGCATATACCTTTGAGCAGGAGCGGCTTGATGCCCTCGTAAGGAGGGTTCCAGTCCTGCGGCGAATGAGCGAAGAGGATGTTCTGCGTGCAGGAGTCTCTGAGGTCGTAGCTGTGCAGGATCTGGAGCATGAGGGAGACGCCAGAGCAGTACACATCCTCGTTGAGTGAGAAGAGGAGGGCGATGGAGGACCAGAAGAGCTCCGGGACCAGAAGCAGCTTCGAGCTCGGCATCGAGCTGGCCATGAACTGCAAAGTCTTGACGCAGTCCAGCTGCTGCTGGAGGCTCCCTGGGGAGCGGGAGAGGAGGGAGGAGAGCAACTTGAGCATTCTCAGCACGTCCTGGCACTGCACCTCAGCTCGCAGTCTCCGGAAGATGGTCAGGCTCTTGGAAAGCTGCAGCCCTCCGTCAGCCTCTCTGCCCGAGCACACGGCAGAGTTGAGCGCCTCCTGCGCCCAGGCCTGCCGGAGGTCGAGGGAGTCTGACATGCCAACGGCTTCCAGGACCCTGTTGAGCTTCAGGTCGAGGAAACTTTCCAGCAAGTGAAGATCTCCTTCTCCTGCCGCGCTCGCTTCGAAAACGCTTGAAGCGATGCTCTCTATGGCCGAGTGCCTGTTCACTTCCTCCTGCCCGTCCTCTCCCTTGCCCCTCTCTTCGCCCGACCAGTCTCCTTCCTCCTCAGGGCTGACGATGCGGAACAAGTTGGAAGTACTTGACCTTGGGGAGGGCGATCGCATGAGGATACGCATCAGCGACACCAGCACAAACTTGCAGCTGGACTGCAGGCAGGTGCTGCTCGTGTCCTGCAGGCCACACACGCAGGTGTGAAGGAGAATGGCTGATTTCTCGCGCAGCAGGTTCCAGTCCTCCTGCTCGCAGCGAGCAAACTTGTTGATGATCCCGGCAAGCAGGATGATGACTGATGATCTCTTCACTCCGCTCGTCTCCTCCTCCTCCACGTCTGCCTCCTCATCCTCCTCCTGCTTCCCAAGAAACGCAGCGTTGACGTGCAAGGAAGGGTTGAGCTGGGCTTGCGAGGAGAGGGGATGGGGAGAAACTCTGAGCAGATCGCAGAGGAGGAGAATCACTTCGATCCCCGAGCTGCCGCATGCGCCAGCGGCTGCGCAGTGAACCTGCTTGAGGACGCGGTCGTTGCCTTGCGGGTCGAACTTGCCAGAGGAGAGGAGGCGGAGGAGGAGGAGGATGAAAGTCTTGCGGTTGCCAGGGACGGAGGTGAGAGCCTTCCAGAGGTTTAGCTTCTCCTCCTGCATGCTGTCAGAGATGCCGTCGAAGAGGAAGAGAAGGTCTGTGAGCAGGGCGTCAGCGTCTCCCCCCAGGGCAGCGAGGTCCAGCACAGACATCCAGGCAGAAAGTGCAAGCAGGAGAGCACGCGTGCGCTGCAGGATGTGCTCCTCCCTCGCCATCCTCTGCAGCTGGAACAGTCTGGCGAGGAAGGAGGAGGACACGCGTCGGATCACGTCCCCTCTGTCACCGAGGGAGCACAAACTCGCCACGTGACTCGACGCCCGCCTTCTCAGCTCCATCCGATCCCCTGCCGACATCACCCTCGTCCCGTAGGTCTCCGACTTGCTGATGCTCGAGGAACGCGATGTCCACGTCATCCTCGCCAGCGGGTCCAGCTGCTCGCACGTCCGCGCCAGCAGCTCGGCCGCGTGTCTCCGGGTCTCCTCGCGCTCGTCGCCGATCATGAGGATGAAGGAGACTATGATCTCCTCCTCCGGCAGGCTCACCTTCCCAGCTAAGATCGAGGAGGCAAGCACGTCAAAGTGACAGCTGGACAGCCAGCTGGAGGACAGGTGGACGCATTGAATACTCCACTGCTTCCCTGTAGGGTCCCCAAGGAGATGATGGTGAAGGGCGAGCTTGCCGCACTGCTGCTGCAGGAGGGCAGCATGGCACAGGCTGTCGTTGATCCATCGCTTCGTCCCTCCGGCCTCCTCCTGCTCCCCTTCCCGTCTTCTTGAGCACAGCTCCCTCTCGCTGTCTTCCGAGAGCTCGAAGGAGGGCCCAGCTAGCAGGGAGGAGAGAGCCCAGAGCTTCGGGAGGACGATGACGTCACCACCTGAGAAGTCAAACAGGTGAGGAAGGTGAGTCCTGGCACCTTCCTGGGTCTTGCTGGGATCCAGCATGCAAAGGTAGTCGAAGAGTTTTCTTCTCAGCTCGGGGGACCATGCAGAAGGAGACGCGTGAAGATCGAGTAGAGGAGCCGCAAAGACGACGAACTTACAGAGGGGAAGCAGCAGGACCATTCGCTTCTCCTCTGATGCTGTTGCGAGGTAGCCAACGGCGTCCTGGACGACGAGGAGGAGCCTCTCTGCCTGCTGCTTGGCATCTTGGGTGAGAGGGAAACGAAGCATCTGGGCAGCAAGAGAGGAGTAGAGGCGCAGGCGGCGGAGGAGGATGACTGAAGTTTTTGCCTTCTTTTTCATTTTGGGCTCGTCGATCACCTTGATGTTTGACAGGGTCGCTGCCGCCACCTCCTCCATACCCGAGGACTTCCCCAGCACAAACTCGAACATGTAGGAAGCTTGATCGTCGAGAGGATCCTTGAGATGAGCCGCCAGCTGCACAATGACATCATGCTTCTTGTGTGCTCCCTTGTGATCGAACAGGCGAAACTGACTCCAAGCTCCTCCTCCTTCACCGCCTGCGATAGCCATGACTGCGCAACACATCCATTCCCTCCAGAAGCCCCGCGGGATCTCATCTCCGCTCTTCTTTGTCTCGTACTCCTTGCTCAGCTCGAAGAACCTCCGGGTACAAACTTCTCCCACATAACGCGCAAACAGCTTCTTCCTGCAAGAGAGCGACGACGCGGCCTCGCACATCATGTCACTCCACGCGAACATCTCGAGCAAGCTCTCGTCCTGGCTGAAGGCGTCCAGACATCGGAGAATTTCGTCCTCACGTCCCTTCTCATGCTCCTCCTCCGCGTACCTGCTCAGGTCTGTGATGCTCTTCAGTTTCAGCCTGAAGTTTCTTCCCTCTTGGAAGCAAGTCATCAAGCAGTTGATCGCGCTGTCTTGCCTCCTCCTCCCTCCGAAGAGACTCCTTGTCATCCACATCACCTTCATGCCCAGGCGTCGCACGTCAGACGAGCGATGAGCGAGCGCAACCACCCCAAGCGCCTCCAGCATGTCCACAAGATCGTCCACCAGAGAGTCTTCTTCCCAGCTGGCCGACAGGCTCGAAACCCCCGCAAACTCGTTGACATGCATCAGCATCACCATGACGTCGCTCAGCCGCTCCTCGAAGATAGCATGCACGCAGAAGAAAAGCTCGAGGCAAGAGGATGCGAGCGACTCTAACAGCCTCTTCATCCTCCTCGCAGCCCTGCTGACGTCATCTTCTCCCTGCAGAGTCTCGAAGAGCGAGGAGAGGAGCAAGCGCGCCATGGCGGAGAGAGCATGCGACCGGATGGTGGGGGACTCGTTCGCCGATAGTCTTGTCAGCAGGGCAATCAGCTCCTCCTCCTCCATTGCTGGCTCCATGAAGGGAACGCAAGAGAGGGCTGCTATGACGCCCTTGCTTGCCAGAGGTTTGCTGGAGGAGCTGCTGTGCGAGCTCGTCTTCTTCGTCTTGTGCTGGAGTGGGAATACCGAGATCGACCCGACCTGAAGGTCCAACTCCCTCAGAACATCCGTGAAGGAATTCTGAAGAGGAGAAGAGAAAAGTTGCCATCTGCTCCTCCACTCGTAGAGTTTCGTTCCCTCCTCCTCCTTTGCCACAGGGCTCAGCATGACGCATATCCTCTGCATCGCAAACACTCCGACAAGCCTCTGGTCGAAATCTCCTTTGAGGAACGAAGTTACAACCTCGAAGGTCCAATCGCAACCAATGAAGGACAGGATCTTGTTCTGCTCTGCAGTCAACTGGGACATCTTCAACTCGTTCGCGTATGACATGTCGTTTCCAAAGAGGGTGATCAGATCTGCGGTCGCTTGCATAACTGCGATAGAAGTATTGCCCTTGGAGATGTTTGGCAGGTTTTCCTTGATCTTGTGCAGAGCCTGAAAGACACGAAGGCATCTCAACAGTCAACTGGAGGTCAAATATGCTCAACTCTACACACCTGACATGATTGCGGGATTTTACTTCTCTCGCAACCTGAGCATGCAGACAGGACTGTCCAGAGGCTTTCAAGGGCCATCAACTTCATCTCGCAACTGGTTTCACAACGATCAGATCTCATGCAGAACATCCTATAGCAGGAGAACCAACCTGCTGCTCCCCTTCCCAAACACTTTGCCGAATGTTCCTGCGGTCTTTGACGAGCAGATCACATCGAAAATGTCCTTTGTCAACAACTCCGACGCTCTTTTGTCAAACTTGTCGGCCGGAAGGGCTGGGAGGAGGGCAGCCATGAGAGGAACAGCGCTGAGAGTGTACTTGTTCTTATCCTTCATCACAGCACAACGACTCCACAGCTCCTCAATAGCTGAGCCCCACGCCTTGTTGTTCAAACTCAACTTTTCCTGGCTGCTTGCAAAGTCTTTAAGACAAGTTGAAAGGATAGCTAGTAGGTCTTGACGGAATTCCGTCTTCTTGAACTTGATGCTTTTGCTCTTGCAGAGCTCTGTCATCACTTTCAGTGCATGGACTGACTCCACAACATTCTCTTCGCTGCAGAAGTTGAAGGAGACTGATCTGAAGAGACTGACCAGTCGCATGCCTGTCAGTGTGGTGGTCAGGTTGATCAAAGCAAGGGTAAACATCGCATCAACACCTTCAGCCTTCTCTGATGATTGCAGGTTGAGGATCGCCGACCGAAGTTTGGAGACGAACGACTGCAGACGAAAGCAGCAGATCATCGAGAGGACTTTGACCTCATTGTCATGCTCGGACTCCAACCTTTGACAACGGGCTACGATCTGATCTGTGATCTCGTCGATCAACTGGGAGTCAAGGTTCCTTCCATCAAAGGATTCCATGATGGTTGCAAACACATCCACCATCAGACCTTCTCCAAAACTTTCGATCTCAGCAACATCGCGGTTTGAGCCCGACGATTCTAGAATGCTTTTGATCTTACTAAGATGTTCGACGTCTTTCTTCTCATGAATCGTCTGCAGATGTGCTTTGAAGAGCCCATCATCCACAGTCGTTCGGACTGCATCAAACAGTGATCTCTTCCACCTCTGCAGCAAAGAAACGACAAGCTGAAGCTTTTTCTTCGCCAAAGTGTTTAAGTTATGCAAACACCTGTCGAATGCAAGATGGATGTCTTCATTTCGCGCCGGAACCTTCAATCCCGCTGCAGAGAAAATTTTCTCTTCGGCGATTTCAATGAAACCATCAACAATCCTTCTTTCCAGTACAGTGAGTGAATCTTGTGTACTGTTAGCCATGATTCTTGGTGATATTCGAATCAGATATTGTGAACTTCCAGCATTTTGACCTGAATAACAAGTTACTATATGCATGCTTGAAATTGCTGCTTTTCAATCCAAGATTAAAAATTTCTTGAGTCTCAATCATAGAAGCAATCTGAATGGTTTGAACACACAAATTATGTTCGAGACATCTTGTAACTTTATATCCTTCCTCTTCGGCTACGATGCAAGAAATGGAACCTGTGTATCCCTCTTTTATCCTTCTTGTCTTCTAGCTGCATCCCATTCTCCCCCTCATCCTGTCTTTCTCCCTTCCTGGATTTCTTTCCCTCTCCTCCCATCTTCTCGTCCCTTCCCCTAAGGAAGCGCTTCCTTGCCCTTACACTGGCACGCCATTTCAAAATCCCACTTAGGTACCCCCACCTACTGAATTCCTGTTCAAACCACCGGTGAATTTAAACCTACCCTACCTTATTTTCCTGGTAGAAGCAGGGGTAGGTACTCTGAAACGCACTGAGGAAATGTATGCTCCGACTGGGATGCCTCTGACAGTGACTGGATGAGAACAGCTGGCCTGATGTTGACCCGAACTCAGATACATGTCTTACTCACAGGTAAGGTACGAGTTGACTACACATGTGATGCACACGTTTTGGTCTTGACGGAAGTCATTCGGAATAGATGCTCACTGTTCATGGAACATTGATCTATATCTACAATTCATCTCTTCTTCCAGGTGTATGTGGTTGGTCCGCTTGGGAAGAGAGAATAAAACGGCATTAACAAGGTCAAAGAGAAATTCATGCATTAACTTATATACATAGAGACACACAAGTTGATGATAAAAGGTATTAAGGATCTTCAGCCCACAGCGCTGGCACTTGCCTGTGAACTAGTCAAGGCATATATGTCGCAGATCGCGTCATACCGCTTCACTTGTGTCTGGATCGGATTGAGTGGAAATTGTGCCAATGAGCCCAGAGGATTCTGACTGTAATACACTGGCTCTACGCCTGCTTGATGAGTCATATCGCAAGAAAGGTATCAACACAGGTGTACCTCCTGCAAATCCGTTGCTGTATTGCGTTTGTGTGGGTGAGGGGGTCAACTGCTTGGGCATGTAATGGTCTCGGGGAATTGCATATCCATTCTGATTTGTGTAGGACTGATTTTCTGACAGAGCTCCAGTCGTATCGTACCTGTTGACGATCCCATCAACAACAAGGTAATATGCAATGATGCTACTCACTTCATGGTGTCATTTCGAAACTGCTGTGCCTTGCCTGTAAGAGAATGGCTAGTCTCTAGAGAGTACGAGTAGACGTTCCCTGAGTGAGAGTATTGAGGAGTCTCTACGGCTTCAATCTCACCTGTTCATCACCCATCAGAAGACTATGTACACAAGAAGCAAACACAATACCTTGATAGTATTCATCATCCATCGGAACTTCAGTTATGCGGGGCTGTTCGAAGTTTGATAGCACTGTCGTAAAGTGGCTCAGGGCAGGACAAATAGAGCTGGCAAGGAACAAGGCCCAAAGAAGCGAACCGAACCCCTCCAGAGCAATATGACCATTTTGATAGAAGTAGAGGAGGACGATGTAGCTGATCTCGCTTCCTTGCCCCCATATCAATCCAGCAAGGATGGACTTCGAGATGACCTGCTTCTCACGGAACATGAGCCCGAAGGATACCATCCCAACACCGAACAAAGTGCCCAAGATCCCCGCGACAGACACCTCAATGCCCGCACTGATGGCCTCACCCCTGTTACCCATGGAATTCGGCATGAGGAAACCAAGAGAGCAAGAGAAGAAAATCCGATATAGCCAAGGGCCGATGTTCTTTGTATTCTTCTCCCAAATATCTCTTGCGCTCTGTATCTTGGAAAAGCTCAGCCCACCAACAAATACTCCGACAATGTATGGCACTTGGACTACCTCGGCTGCGAGGCCACATCCAACTCCTGTACAGATCATGAAGACCATTATGACAGATTCATGCAGCTTGAAAGTTTCATCTGTCTTTTTCTCGATTGCCAGTAGTTGTATAAGTGGAGGGCAGCAAAGGAAATTCCAACAAAGCGTCAGGACAACACAACCGATCAAGAACACCAACGAGAAGAGTAATGGTTGCAGTATATTCCACCACTGACCCACAGGCTGCTCATTCAATAGTGGGATTGTTCCATTAAGAAGAGATAGCAAAACCATTCCAATCATAACTCCAATAGTGGTCGAACCTGAAATAGTCTCATTGAAGATTTCATCCCCTTCAATCAAATTTGATAATTTCTTTTTTGACCAGCCAAACTCAACAATTCCGCAAACAGGTATTGAGAATGCTAATGACGCGCAAACACTCTCAGTCATCGAGTGCCCTTTCAATCGAAAGACGAGGGCAATCCAGAACATAGACACTGTAAGAGAGAGGTTTGCTAGTGCAATGCTACGTGGAAACTGCTTCACTGCAAACAGAAAGTCAGACGATCGCCTGAATTTTCGTTCTCAAGCAGGAATGACCTATATCGTCAAGTTTTGATGTGAGCCCTTTCTCGAAGATGATGTAGACTGCTCCGAGCTGCCCCATCATAGCAAAGGCTTCCGGGTAGGGTACAATGTTGTAGTGCATCGGTCCAAGGAAGAACCCTGCGATGGTTTCTCCGACATGCGTCGGTCCCGTGAACACCAGATACGTGATATATCCCCACACATCCGCAAGCAACCAGAATGCTCCCAGCCTGTTTGATACGTTGAGTATTCCGTCTGATAAATATGGATGCATACTTGCTGACTTGATACAGATGCAAAGGAGGCCAAGTGGAGACTAAACTCACGGCCATCACTTCAGTTCGATTCAGAGCAAGATTCAAGGAGATGAATTGAAGTGAAACATCTGGATATGAAACGTTAGAAAACAAGTGCTTCTGTTTTGCATTTCTGATACGAAACGACAAATTGATTTAAATCATTGGCATCTTACCCGTACACAGAAACGATCCTTCTTGAAGACTTGCTGAAAATCAAAATGTTCAGGATGACACACAAGTATCTCAGTTGATAACGATAAAACATCGTTTGAATTCCACCCATCTTGAGGCGAACGAAAGGAAATTCCAAACACTTCTCGATAGGGGGTTTTGCATGAAATATGGAAGGATAGTAAGAGCAAACTTTGAAAGATGTGAATGAGTTCATCGAGCAGTGCATGGAAAGCTAAGCATGAGAGCTGCATGCAAAGGGCGCTTGATCTACTGAAAGCAGCGCATTTCCTCGTCATTGCAACGGTTTCAGCATTGTAGAGTGAAAGTGTAGGTCCTGGCCCCATCGTTATTTGAAGGGGTGGGTGGTTTTACGTGGTAGATTGAAAGAGGGTAATGGGGTGCTATTGAGGGGTCCATGTCTCTGGATTGAAATGGTATCGAATGGGTAGGGTGGGTTGAGAGGACCTGCTGGGGGGATGAAAGTAAAGTAGACTGAGATGTGAAGGGGTAGGGGTAGTCGTTGACCGGGACAAGTTTGAATTTGAAACTACAGGAGCCTCCGGCGAGCGGCCACGAGTGATTTCTCAGTCAGCCTCCTTTCAAGCCTCAGACAAAAAAAGGTGGCACGAAAAGTACGCCGGTTTAATTCATCAAGTTAGAGCACCGGCAGTACTATAATGGTTAAGTGACACACTATGACCAATGGTGACCCAAAAATTAGAATCTCAAAAAAAACGTCGAAATCGCGGTGTGGTGCAAACCCCGAACGGTAAAACAACAAAGGAGCAACGAGAATATAGAATGTTGTGATTAAAAAAAAAGAACATCCCTGCAAATCCACCTGTACAAATCAATTCTTCCGAAGTCTAAACACCCGTCTGTTTATCTATCAAAGTAGAAGTAGGGGTGGGTACCAGGTTTGTGGCTCAACAAACTTCGAATATTTCCCGCCTTCCGAAGTTCCCGCCTTCCCGCCTTCATCCGAAGTCTAACTACCCGTTTGTTTATCTTTCGAACTTGAGTAGGGGTGGGTACCAGGTTTGTGGCCTTCCCGCCTTCCCGCCTTCATCCGAAGTCTAACTACCCGTTTGTTATCTGTCGAACTTGGGTAGGGGTGGGTACCAGGTTTGTGGCTCAACAAACTTCGAATATTTCCCGCCTTCCGAAGTTCCCGCCTTCCCGCCTTCATCCGAAGTCTAACTACCCGTTTGTTTATCTGTCGAACTTGAGTAGGGGTGGGTACCAGGTTTGTGGCCTTCCCGCCTTCCCGCCTTCATCTGAAGTCTAACTACCCGTTTGTTATCTGTCGAACTTGAGTAGGGGTGGGTACCAGGTTTGTGGCTCTGTAAAGATTTCCCCGCCCTCCCGCCTTCTCTCCCTCCCTCCCATCCTCCCTCCCGCCTTCTCTCCCTCCCTCCCATCCTCCCTCCCGCCTTCCATCACTCCCTTCTTCCCGCCCTCCCTCCCTCCCTCCCTCATTCCCGCCTTCCGAAGCTCCCGCGTTCACCCTGATCAAATATGGGGAAAAGGAAAAGAGGAAAACAAAGAAAGTCTTGTTCTGATTCACAGACGACTGTCAAGATGTGTTTGAAAAAACATCTCAAACAACACACAATGATCGGTGTGATTGATGATTGGGTGAAACATATAAGCAAAATAAGCCATCGAGGTAGCATCATCTTCAATCATCTATTGTTATGGTGTTTTGAGAAGGATTCAATGCAATGTGATGATACGTACATTACAAGGCTGTTTGATCAGATATACAATCGTACTAGAAAAGTAACAGACAAAGAAAAAGAAGAAGGGATGCAAGAAGATACGGTCAAGACCAATGGTGGAGATAAAGTTTTCTTTCGGACCTGTTTTCTGATGGGTGAAAAACGCAGAGGTAATGCAATTCAGTTTGATATTTTAGACGAGTTTTGGCAAGAAAAAGGGAACAAGTATCCACCAATACAACGCAGGAAAGAAGGGGATATTCGAGTACTGTACTATTCTGCTGATCAATATGCAACAAATTTCCAAAATTACATATTCTATACGATGGGACAAAAACAGACTAGATACATAAAGGAATGGGGAAAGCTCAATGGGATTTCTTCAGAAAAGGAGATACAGGATATACGGAATGCAGTAAACGGATGGAGCTTTCCACCAAAAACTCGTGTTCTCGAAAGACAGGATGTCATTGATTTCATAAGGGAACAAAAAGAGATCATTGGATGGGACAATCATTATAACTTGTCATGGGCCCGTGACAAAATCAAGAAAAACCCTGATCAGCAAAAATGGATGCAATTACACATGCCAAATCTTGTCAAGTACCATTTTTCGGTTCTGAGGTTTTTGGAGATTCATGATATATCTGATCGATACACGATCGCTCCGATTTTTCAGATACGCAAACAATTTATTCGCGTAGACATTTGGGGTTTATTCTACATCATGGATCAATCTGGTCTGTTGCAATATTCAAAGGGTGGGAAAAGCAAATGCATGAAAAAGTTCACACAACAAAAACATAAGCGATTCTTGTCGGTGTTGAAGCTACAATCAAATTTGAGAAAGAAAGGGACAGTTGATAGCATACAGACTGACGGAGTCGCACTCTGTGTGACGTTCAAGAAGAGAATACACAATGAGACAGACAATACTACTACAAAGAAAAGCAAAACAAGAGATTGTGATGTGTCCTCAAGACGAGTTATTGCAATCGATCCTGGTCGCAATGTACTGATATGCGGTGTCGAGCAAATACCTGGTCAAGAAAAACCAAAGCAGTATCGATATACTCGAAGGCAGTACTATCATGAGTCTCATATTACTCGGAATAACGCCAAGTTAGAAAAATGGAGACAAGGCATAACAGAGGAATCAAACGATATTGCAAGAGTGTCAGCAAAAACGTCTCGGTTGGATCACTTTGAAAGATACATCGACACCGTGGTGAGACTAAGCGAGATCCTGTTCGAACACAATTGTCAAAACAAGTTCGCACGCCTGAAGATGGATAACTACATCCACAAACACAAGGCGATTGATACGTTCTTCAAGAAGATGAAAGGTAATGGGACAGATCAAAATCCAATAATTGCATACGGTGATGCATCATTCGGTTGTACTGGGCGTGGAGAGAAGTCAGTGCCTGTAAAATGGATCAAAAGGCGATGTCAGAACTTCTTCGAGGTGACGGCAGTTGATGAATACAGAACGACAAAATGTTGCAATCAATGTCATCAAGAATTGTATGATTTGAGACGCAAACAAATCAACAAGAATGGTATACTTGCTGACGAAGTGTCAGTGGTGCGGGGTTTGAAATGGTGCAGATCCACCAATTGTGTTCAAAACCGTATCAAGTCTCGTGATGTCAATGCTGCTATGAATATTCTATTGTGCTACATGTCTCTACCAGCACGACCAGATTTTCTGAAACGGCCTTGAATCACACATGGGTCTGGTTATACTTCAACCTGTTCTTCATAGAAAGGATGAAGTACGAGTCAGACACAAGGAAATATTGGCGTGTGGGTCTTCAATGATCCATAATTTCGACGGAAAATTTAGAATTTTGAAATTTTATGTTTTGTGTCGTTTAGCTAATACAGGAGCCTCATACCCACTTACGACCATGGGGTACCCCTTCTAGAACACCAGAAAGCATGTTTCATTTCATTCTGCTCAAGGAAAGACAGCAGTCAACTTGTAGGGCTACTTGTACATTTCCTCATGCTGGAGGACAGCAGACCCGGTCTGGTCAGCTGCTGGTCAGACTGCCGCATGTTACAAATGTTGAGCTGCTAGGCTTCATAGCAGTTGTTGGTTGTACGTCGTTCTGACTGAACTTCTCTGATGTTTCATGAGGAAAGGGTTCAGTGAATGTTTGTAATCTGCGCGACACTGGCAAGCAAGCTAGACGCAGAGGCGAGATACATGATCCGCGGAACGGGATGTACGTTCAAGATTTCGTCATGTTCATTGGAAACGTTGAACCATCAGGGTGAGAAATCACTTAATAATATCCACTAACACACACAAACACGCACGCACGCACACACAAAAGAGAGGGAGAGAAAGAGACAGTTCTGCTGCTCCAGCTGTTGGTGAGCAAGCTGCCATAGGTTGCTTCTTGTCTCATCTTCCCCCTTATATCGCCATCTCGACGACATGGACGAGTGAGGTCGGGGGGACGCGAGAGGCTCTAGAAGAGCTTCAGGTGGCTCGCCATGTCCCTGCGTCAAAGTCAATAGCAAACCAGCAAACGAGTCAACTGAGTCACGAGGACGCACCAAGGGACGAAGAGCTTCTTCTTCTCGTCGTAGATGTAGCAGAAGGCGTCTCCAGCCAACGCGCACGCGTCGACGTAGCTACACACCCACACCTCGAGCTCGCGTCTGACCATGAGCTGTCCGAGGCCTCCCATCTTGAAGGTGCTGTTATGAGTATCGAGGCTCGGAACGATGTCTTTCCAGGTGTGAAGCATCTGACAGTGAAGGTACTTGCTGCTCACAAACCAGTACTGTGACAGCGCGTCGCTCGAGATGTTTGCCGTCCACGTCATCGTGAAACCCTGATACGCCACGCTCTCGTCCGCCTCGAACAAAACCTCCAGCACCCGCGAGCTCGCCGTCACCGTCAGGCTGCCGGGCTTGTGCAGGCCCGTGAGCTTGGCGACCTCCGTCCTCCCGTAGCACTCCAGCGACGCTCCCAGGAGGCCGATGCACTCGTTGATCGTGAGGAAGTCGTATCCCGGCTCGAGGGCGAAGGAGGTGAAGTTGAGGGAGATGGAGGAGGCGCCTGGAGGCTGGATGATCCACCGGCAGTTGCTCCCGTCCTCGTACAGGCTTGACAGTGCCGACCCGTCGGACAAGGACCCTCTCGCCTCGTCAAACAGCTGGCACCGGCACTTGCCTGTGCAGGGCTTGAGGGCTGAGCTGCAGATGCTGTCCTGCAGCTCCTGACAGGCTAGCGCGTGCTCCCCGCTGTTGCAGACAGGGGTCGAGCAAGCCCTGCAGGAGGACCCGGAGACGTACTGGCCGGGAGCACAGCGAACCTTCTTGATGAGGATGCGAGTGTTCTGACAGTACTGGCCTGATGACAGCGCGTACAGCTCAGCGTCAGCTCGGATAGACTTGGTCAAGCCGTTGAGGGCCATGACGCGACCAGCAGTCACGTAGTTGTAGTTTGACGTGGCGTAGACTGTGCCGTCGGACACCACGAGCTGCTGGAGACCCCACGGGTAGCGTGCGATGACGTCAACAGTGTCTGTGTCGTTTGGAGCTACTTGCCAGCCGGCCGGCAGCTGGACCATGCCGCACTGAAGCCTCTGGTTGGAGCTCGAGACGGGTCCTTGCAGGGGGTCCCAAGGCTCCGTCATGTTGTCCATGAGCACGGCGTACTCGTCCCCGCTGCGAGAGGTGACGGCGAAGATCCAACCGCACTGGTAGAGCATCGCATCGGGATAGTCCTGCCTGCACGACCTCGTGATGTTGCACCGCATGGAGGCTGGCCTCACGACGACGTCGCTCTCCGGTGACGGCGGGGGCTTGCAGGCGAGGCATCGCGTGCCTGACTGGAAGTATCCCGGCTGACAGCGCCAAGCGCACTCCTCGTCAGCGGCGTCGAGGAAGTAGGCGAAGTTGGGAGCGTTCATGCAGGGCACACAAGCGCCTTGGCTGCGGTAGTGACCTGTGCCGCATCGCCACTGGCAGACCTGACCGCTCGACCCGTCGGCTTCCACATAGAGAGCGTTGCTTGGCTTGGGATACCTCGGGTCGCACGACGCGCATCCCTCATACGCCTTGTAGTATCCTGCCCGACAGGTCCATCCGCACCCGCCTGGTCCCGAGGAGGCTACCGCGTTGGCCGGTAGACTGCCCGAGCATGGCGTGCAGTCTTGATCGCCTCGGCCCTCGTAGCCGTCATCGCACTCGAGGCGCACAAGCAGCATCCGCAGGGCGTAGTATCCGTTGTCGCAGGACGAGAGGGCGTAAGAGCTGCCGCTGCGGTAGAGCATGTTGCTGAAGATGCTGGTGCCGGGCGTTTGGTAGCTCATGTAGTCCTGGTAAGGCTGCGCCGTCTGGTAAGCGACTCCGTTGGCGAGCACGACGGCTCGAGCTCCCCATGGGTACGACCCGGCGACTCTCACAGCTTCCTCGCTCCATGGCGCCAGCGCCCAGCCCGCAGGAGGCTGCTGGTACATGGAGCCGTCATGCTGACAGCTGAGGTTGAGCGACGTGGGAGCGACGTCATCCAAGGCCGCGTAGACCTTGCCGAGGTACCTCACCACGTGCGTCAAGCTGTTGCTGACGTTACACGCCTCTCCATGGCTCTCGCCGCTCGCGCAGGCCCACTGGCATGAGTTGGGCTGGTCCAGCAGGCCCGGGGTAGAGTAGAAGGCGTAGGGGGGGATGGGGTTCGTGCAGGGGAAGCACACCATCCACTCGGAGCTCCGGTAGAAGCCGGCGTTGCACTCCCAGGGACACTTGCTGTCCGCATACTGGCTGGGGCTGGAGGGAAGAGCGTAGCTGGCGTTGGCAGGGATGGGGTTGGAGCAGGGGTAGCAGTAGGAGCCGGAGAGGTAGAACCCGGGAGCACAGAAGAGCGACATGAGAAGAATGTCGCTGCACGTACTCCAAGATCGATACATACCGTCATATCCGATCAGTGAGTTGGATCCCCATCTATAAGGATAGTTACAGCATTGACAGCTGCTGGTGTACCAGATAGAGCTGTCGGATAGCTGGAGGTAACATACTCCCCACCGCTGAGTCGCGATCGCCATCTGACTGTCCCAGGTGTTCGCAGCTATCGCCCAGCCGTCAGGGATGCTGCTGAAGGTCAATGGTGTGTTGCACTGGTAAGGTTCGTCAGGCCGGTGGCCTTGTAGGGTGGTGTAGTATCGGTTGCCGTACTGGAACATCTCGCACTTGCTGGCGTTGACATTGCTCCCTCCCCCCTGAGATTGATAGTGACCGAAGTCACACGCCCAGCCGCATGCCGTCCCGTTGCTGCCCTCCCGCAGCCAGTGAGCCGCCCGCGGCTTCCTGCCCTCGCACGCGACGCACTGACCGTCCTTGAGGAGGTAGCCCGCGCTGCATCGCCACCCGCACTCTGTCCACGACCCGTTGACCCCTCCCGGCCCGTACGCTACGTACTCCGCGTGCTCCGGCGCCGTCTCGCACGCCTGACACGCCTCGCCTCGTCGCGTGTAGCCGGGCTCGCAGGCCCACGGGCAGACGCTGTCGGCGTAGCGGCTGGGGTCCTGCTGGGCGACGTAGAGGGCATGAGGGGGGATGGGGTTAGAGCAGTTGCCGCAGCTCGAGTCGTTACGGAGGTAGTAGCCCGCCGCGCAGTACTGCGACACGAGCAGGATCGACCCGCACGATTCTGACGACCTGTACATGCCGTCGTATGACACCAGCGAGTAGCAGCAGGTAGACTGAGGCGACGACGACGAATAACACCGAGAGCTGTACCAGGTAGTGCTGTCAGACATCATTAGGGTGCAGGAGCGCCAAGGGTACATCCACGCTGTCATGCGGCTGTCCCAGGTGTTCGCAGCTATCGCCCAGCCTGCCGGGATCGCCTTCAGCCCTTGATTGCAGTTGTAGTAGTAGTAGTAGTAGTCACTATTTTCCCAGTTCCATGGGGGAGAGCCGTCGAGGGTGGCGTAGTATCGGTTGCCGTAGGAGCGCAGCGGCAGACAGTCTCCGTCTGCCGACGCGAAGTAGCCGAAGTCGCACGCCCAGCCGCATGCCGTCCCGTTGCTGCCCTCCCGCAGCCAGTGAGCCGCCCGCGGCTTCCTGCCCTCGCACGCGACGCACTGACCGTCCTTGAGGAGGTAGCCCGCGCTGCATCGCCACCCGCACTCCGTCCACGACCCGTTGACTCCTCCCGGCCCGTACGCTACGTACTCCGCGTGCTCCGGCGCCGTCTCGCACGCCTGACACGCCTCGCCTCGTCGCGTGTAGCCGGGCTCGCAGGCCCACGGGCAGACGCTGTCGGCGTAGCGGCTGTGGTCCTGCTGGGCGACGTAGAGGGCATGAGGGGGGATGGGGTTAGAGCAGTTGCCGCAGCTCGAGTCGTTACGGAGGTAGTAGCCTGCCGCGCAGTACTGCGACACGAGCAGGATCGACCCGCACGATTCTGACGACCTGTACATGCCGTCGTACGACACCAGCGAGTAGCTGTATGTAGACTGAGGCGACGACGACGACGTACACCGAGAGCTGTACCAGGCAGAGCTGTCAGACATCATTAGGGTGCAGGAGCGCCAAGGGTACATCCACGCTGTCATGCGGCTGTCCCAGGTGTTCGCAGCTATCGCCCAGCCCGCCGGGATCGCCTTCAGCCCTTGATTGCAGTTGTAGTAGTAGTAGTAGTAGTAGTAGTAGTAGGAGTAGTAGTAGTAGTAGTCACTATTTTCCCAGTTCCATGGGGGAGAGCCGTCGAGGGTGGCGTAGTATCGGTTGCCGTAGGAGCGCAGCGGCAGACAGTCTCCGTCTGAAGACGCGAAGTAGCCGAAGTCGCACGCCCAGCCGCATGCCGTCCCGTTGCTGCCCTCCCGCAGCCAGTGAGCCGCCCGCGGCTTCCTGCCCTCGCACGCGACGCACTGACCGTCCTTGAGGAGGTAGCCCGCGCTGCATCGCCACCCGCACTCTGTCCACGACCCGTTGACCCCTCCCGGCCCGTACGCTACGTACTCCGCGTGCTCCGGCGCCGTCTCGCACGCCTGACACGCCTCGCCTCGTCGCGTGTAGCCGGGCTCGCAGGCCCACGGGCAGACGCTGTCGGCGTAGCGGCTGGGGTCCTGCTGGGCGACGTAGAGGGCATGAGGGGGGATGGGGTTAGAGCAGTTGCCGCAGCTCGAGTCGTTACGGAGGTAGTAGCCCGCCGCGCAGTACTGCGACACGAGCAGGATCGACCCGCACGATTCTGACGACCTGTACATGCCGTCGTATGACACCAGCGAGTAGCAGCAGGTAGACTGAGGCGACGACGACGAATAACACCGAGAGCTGTACCAGGTAGTGCTGTCAGACATCATTAGGGTGCAGGAGCGCCAAGGGTACATCCACGCTGTCATGCGGCTGTCCCAGGTGTTCGCAGCTATCGCCCAGCCCGCCGGGATCGCCTTCAGCCCTTGATTGCAGTTGTCGTAGTAGTAGTAGTAGTAGTCACTATTTTCCCAGTTCCATGGGGGAGAGCCGTCGAGGGTGGCGTAGTATCGGTTGCCGTAGGAGCGCAGCGGCAGACAGTCTCCGTCTTCCGACGCGAAGTAGCCGAAGTCGCACGCCCAGCCGCATGCCGTCCCGTTGCTGCCCTCCCGCAGCCAGTGAGCCGCCCGCGGCTTCCTGCCCTCGCACGCGACGCACTGACCGTCCTTGAGGAGGTAGCCCGCGCTGCATCGCCATTGGCACTCGTACTCGACCTCGTGTCTCATCGTCAGCTGGACATACTCAGCATGGGCTGGCAGCGTCGCTCGGTCACAAGCTACACAATGATCGGCTTGCTGCTTGAAGCCGGCGTTACACACGTATGCACAGGTGGAGATGAGCTGGTTGTCTGCTGCTATCAGACTGCCATATGACGAGTTGGTAGGCAGCGCGTTACTGCAGGGCACACAGCTGGAGCCGCTCTTGAGATATCCCGGGGCACATTCGGTAGACCTCAGCAGAACTCCCTTGTCACAACCATTTGCCTTGTACATGCCGTTGTAGGAGCTCAGATATCCCCAGCTGTATTGCTGGGGGCTGGTAGAGCTAGTGCCGCGAGCTGTGTACCACAGAGAGCCATCTGAAAACACCAAGTAGTACGATCCCCAGGTGAAGTACCAGGTGACGTACTGACTGTCCTGGTTGTTGGGGGCGAGCTCCCATCCTGCTGGTACCGGCAAGTACGGGTCGTCACGGCAGGTGTAGGGGTCGTTGGGAGCTCTGCCGCTCAGAGTCGTGTAGTATCTTCCGGCGTACTTGGTCCCGACGCACCTTCCGTTGCTCCTCACATACCCGAACCGACATGACCACTCGCACTGTCTCCCGCTGACTTCGCCTGCTGTGAAGTAGGCGAACTCTGGCAGACTCGTCTCGCAGGCTTTGCATGCCCCGTCTTGGAGGTAGTAGCCTGCATGGCACGTCCAGCTGCAGCTCTCTCCGGGCTCGCTCGTGGTGTACACAGCATTGGGAGGGGCTACCGAGCAGGCGACACAAGAGCTCCCGTAAGCATCCCTGTAATAGCCGGCGTCGCATCGCCAGTCGCAATTGTTCTTGTTTGCAGGCGAGCCGCTGCTGTTGTAGGTGGCGTGATTAGGCTTGTAGCTGCTGCACGGAATGCAGCGGGTCATGTTGGAGGGATCCCTGTAGTAGCCCGCGAGACAGTCCTCTGCTACCACCAGCACCGTCCCACAGCTGTCTCTTGACACGAACATCCCGTCGTAGCTGTACAGTCGCGACGTACAGCACATGCCTCCGTATCCTGTGTTCCATGCCGTCCCGTCCTCCAGCACGACATTGCTGGCCCCCCACGGGTACTGAGATACCACAGAGATGCTGTCGCCTGTGTTGGGCGCTATCATCCACCCCTCCGGCAGAGCTCTCGCTACCTCCCAGCTGCAGGTCGAGCTGTCGTAGGGAGCCCTCCCTCCCAAGCTCGCATAGCGCTGTCCGTTGTATCCTACGGTGATGTCGTCGCAAGAGCTGCTCCCGCTCTGACGATAACCAAAGTCGCACGCCCACGAGCAGCCTGACCCCTCCCAGTGAGCGTTGGGAGGCAGCGAAGACGCGCAGGCCTCGCATCGCCATCCGTCGACCTCGCGATAGCCCGGCAAGCAGCTCCAAGCACAGCTGTCTGCCTTGCCCATCAGCCCGGCGCCCACGTAGACGGCAGCAGAAGGCTTGCCCGCACACTTGGAGCACGTCGAGCCTGACGGGTAGAAGCCAACCTGACAGCTCCACCCGCAGCTGCTCGTCTCCTGAGGGTAGGGCGAGAGCACGTACTGTGCGCCGGAAGGGATGGTGTTGGAGCATGGGACACAGCGAGACGCGTTCGTCAATCCGCTTGCAGAGTCTGCAGGAGCGACGGCCATGTAGCCTGATGCGCATACGGGAGCGAGGAGCAGAACTCGAGCTTCGCAATCTGACGAGCGATAGTAAACTCTGTCATACGTCGAGAGATAGCCGCTGCTGTAGTACGAGCCCGGGTATTGCATGTAGTAATAAAACCAATAATACCAGTTATCTTCTGACATGACGCTGTTAGTGTAGTAGCTCGAGCTGCTGTCCAGCACAAGCCGAAGAGCTCCCCAGTCGTACTTGGCGGTGACGTTGATGCTGATCTCGTTGTCCGGAGCGATCGACCAGCCCGCAGGCAGCGGCAGGTACTCCTGCCATTCCGACACACAGCTCCACATGGAGTACTGCGACGTAGGACCGTACCCGCCAAGAGTCGAGAACACGTACCCCTCCTCTTCCACTACCTCCTGCCAGGCACAGGAGTCCGCCCCCTCCCCGCGCCCTGCCGACACAAACACAGCGTTGGCCGGCCTCTTGGTGCAGGGCATGCACATGCTCCCTGACTTGTAGAAGCCAACGTCGCACGTCCACCCGCAGAGCTCGTTGGAGTAGCTGGCGTTGCTGGGCTTCCCTTCGCACTCAGCGCAGCTCTCGCCTTTGAGGTGGAACCCGGGTTGGCATATCCAATCGCACGACTGCGATGCCGTAGAGAAGTCGGAGGAGTAGATGGAGTTGGGAGGGATGGAGTTGTTGCACAGCACGCACGGCAAGTCAAGCATCACATACGGCGACGGCACACCAGAGACAAGCAGACGAGCCTCACGGTCGGGCATGGAGAAAGACGTCAAAGTTGACCCCCTGCCGTCGCTCATCATGTACATGGTCGAGAAGTAGGTGTTCTGCAAGCCGATTGCGACCCGCAAGGTGTTGTTGGCAAAGAAAGTCACCTCGAAGATGAGATTCGGATGCCCCGGGAGCCCCGAGGTAGACGAGGTCCCCTCGAACCTCACCACGTATCCCCGCATGTCTCCCTCCCTGGTGGGGGTCCCGACGATCAGCTGGGCTGAAGTGTCTCCAGCTCCGACAAACAGAGTCGGGACGTAAGGATTGCTGGCTGACAGGGAGGTGTAGGTCGACCAGGCTTGTCCGAAGGTCAGGTAGCTATTGGACGATATGTACACCGATGATTGCACGTTGTTGCCTCCCACGCAGAAGGGAAACCCAAGGTCCGGCACTCTCCAGCTCCCGTCATCGACAGAGCTTGGCGAGAGGATGTAGGACCAATTTCTTCCTACCGCCAGGTCTGACTTGAGGTAGGACGTGTTGAGGATCGTCGCATTCGGAGGGCCTTGGAAGTGCGCAGGCGCTGGGTCGGCAGTCGCGGAGTCTCGATACCTCGTGGAGCAGAAGTCTGGGGTCTGACCTTGCGGGCATCCCACGTACACGATCAGTATCCGCATGTTGCAAGACGCCGGCCAGTACAAGCCGTCGCTGCTGCGTAGAGAGGAGCCTCCATTGGAGCAATACCAGCAGTTTGTGCGATAGTATGAGCCGCTTTCGACCAACATGTAATCGGTTCCCCAAGTGTACTGACTGATGACTTCTCTCGATAGCCAGTCATCCGGAGCGATGGCCCAGCCCTTCGGCAGCCGCAAGGCTTGTGTCTGGCAGTCTTCGTTGCTGCTTGTCCTCTCCGACATGTAGTATGTGCCGTCGAGGGTGGCAAACTTTCTGCCGCCGTACATGACGCTAGGAAGATCGTCTCCGCGCCGCTCTCCATCATCCTCGGATATCTGATAAATGTAAGGTCAGCAGCTGATGCTTCAGAGATCGTCATGTTACCACGGAGTTGTCGCGGAGCGAGTACTTGCTGTCCGCAGATCCCACAGATCGCTGGAGGTCGACATGAAGCGCTCTCAAGTGCGCATTTGATGATGCAAGCGAAGTAGAAACTCCTTTGCGATGAGCTCGATCGCCTTGACTCATCGGGCGCAGCTTGTCAGAAGCCGGCATCTTGCTTGAAGAGGAGCGCAGCTGACGGTCAAGAGAGTCCTCCTGAGCGATCAATTGCTGGATCTCCATCAGGCGTGAGGTGATGGGGGACGAGGCAGATCTCTGAGAGGGGCTGGTAGGCTGTTGATGCAGAGCATCGTCTCCTGTGGCTGAAACAGAAGCAGAGACAGAGAAAACAAGAAGGAAAGCGAAAACAATCCCAAGACTCATCAGGCTGATGCGAGCCATGTCGCGAGAAAATTGAGACTGGAAGAAGAGATCGGTCAGAACACAATATATTTGCAGGGCTTTAAAAGCACGATTAAGTCACAAGATAGTGAGAATGGTCGAGTGTTGGCAAGGTTTGCAGTCAAAGAGCTATGATTGCACTGCGAAACATCGGACTAGAGCTGAGATATTCGAAGGGGACAACATGAAGTGAGGAGAGGATGATTCATTTCTAGAGCGATTGAGGAGGAGAGCAAGGAAAGGAAGCATTTGGAGGGCACAGGAGAGCAGAAGCCGGGCAAGGCCATGGCCATGGGGAGCGGGAGGGATCAAGAGGATAAGTGCCAGCGATCAAATAAAGGATACTAGTCGTCTTTGAGTAAAGGAGTGAGTCGTCCACCCCCTTTCCTCTCGAGTTCTGCGTGACTACCCCGACCCTAATTGACTTAGGAAGTACCCCTCCCGTCGAAAGGCAATTAGTCAGCTACACACCCCTGTGATTAATGACCCACCCTAGCAACGCAGACACGCCCGTGATCTTCTCTTCGACCACCGGTCCTGATGTCAACTTTGGTACTCGAGCAGTTGTGGAGCTAGTTGAATGTTCCCTCTTTCCACCCCACCCTGCCCTACCGTACCCTGCCCTACCGTGCCGTACCCACCACCTCAACCGAAAATTGATTTTAGTTCCCCTACCCCTCCTCATGATGCTCAACTCACTTCTATTTGACATCCCTCTTGCTACGTCTCGTGGGCATACCCCTACTATGCCCTCCCACCCTACCCCTGTCTCTCGCTTAATTGCCCATTACTGAGATTCCATGGGGTCGTGACCCTTGTCAGAGTCTTGTCAGTGACCCCCGGCCCATTTTAGAACAGTGTCCTCTGAGTCACTGAAACTCCGGCAGCCCCGGGCCCGGGCTGACTCCGGCAGCCCCGGACTTCGGCGGATCAGAGAGATCGGGCTCATGGCGGGGGTAGAGGTCGCGCGGGCGGGAGGATATGAGCAGGGGGAGATGATGGACTGGGAGGACGGGAACAGACGTTGTCTCGTCAGGTAGACTGATGTTCCTCCTCCTGTATCCCCTCCCATGTCTGCGCTCTCTGGCTCTTTCTCTCTTTCCCACTTGCTTGTCCTCCTCGGACTGCTGTTTGACGCTTGATCCTGGTAAGGTTTCGCCATGGCGAGGAGACATGCTGGATCAATGACAGTTTGATCCGTCTGATACCCGAAGAGCATGATCGCGCTGGGTTCAGTCCGTCTCCCGGGGATGTTGTCGAGGCAGCGTTGCCCGACGAGAATGGGAACTTGAGGTACTGGTGGGAAGGAGTAGTGAACGAGGCAAAAGGAAATTTCTTTGTCGTCGAGTTTCCCCATGAGCGACACTCGAAGAAGAAGGAAGTGGTAGAATTGGATCATCTCAGGCCAACTTACGGACACCCTACGTTGTGCATCGAAAAGAAGATGATCGAATTTCCTCCGAACATGCAAGCCTCCAATGAAAGAGTTGAGAAGTTCCTTGATTCCAAACTCAAGAACGTCATCGGCATTGTAAGCATGCATTGCTTTCTTCCTCCAATCCTTTATTAACTCTCCATTTCTAGAGAGGACTGATGACGTCGAAGCTGGATGTTGAGAACAGACATTTATGCTTGATAGGAACGGTTGTGACTCTGACCTTGCCTTGACGATTTCATATTGACTTCCCTATAGCTTCCTGCAGTGGAGGTTGCCTCAAATCTCGTGGATATAATCTTCACACAAGTATGCTGAAGATGAGACAAGTGGAACTCGATCTGACAGTCTTTCGAGGCCATACACATGAATCTCGTGAACAATGCGCAGAAGAATACAGTGAGTAGCTTCCTGATTGTACATCGTTTGAAGTGAAGGTGTGAACAGGAATTTATCAACGTGGAGAAGAAATATGGTGACCTCGACTTTGCAGTTGCTCTTCGCTGGCTCTGACAAAGGTTGGCAGCATGCGTGAGCTTCCAAGTTGATCCCAGGTACCTGGGGCTCGTGATCGGACCCCAAGGAAGAAACTTGAAACCAGCCAAGGAGATTCAAGGTGAAACAAGTCGGATTGCTCTGCTCATTGTAATGAATGCGCGTGAAGGCATTCAGAGCATCGATGTGTATGCCAACGGACTTGTCAACATCTACGGGGACAATCAGAATGTGTGAATCTTATAGCACTGCTGCTATCTCGGTCTTGGTCTTTCCTGACACTCCTCTGCTTCATACCAGGTGGTGGAAGAAGCTCGGAAGGAGCTGGAGCTGGTGACAGAGAAGTAGGTCGGGTTTGAGAGTTGGAGTGATGTTGATCGATGTGCTCGAAGCATTCCAATCCATCGGAATCAAGTTGGGCTGATCATAGGGAAGGGAGGATCCCAGGTAAGGAAAAGTTCTCCTTTGGATTGAAGAATGTCGATGTGAGGTTGAGATTGTTAGATCATTGAGCTGCAAAAGTTTTCGTCCTCTCGAATGGTCGTCAAGCAGGTTGGACGATCAGCGAATATCCTTGTGTGGGAAATTTTGTTTTATCTTGTTTGCAGGTGGAGGATACTGAAGAAGCATATTACATCCAAATGTTTGGAACTCGGCATTCAATAGAGACGGGGCAGGTGATTTTTCATCGCTTTCAAGCTGCGATAAGGTCAGCTGACGCTATCTTAGGCGCTTGTCAAATATTTGATCTCAACTTTCCAAGAGAAAGAGGAGAAGCAGGTCATTGATTGAAGCTTTCAGACTCTTCTCTCCTCTTCTCTACTGCCTCTTCCATTCCTCTCTCCTTCACCCGTCTCTCCTCTTTTCTCTTCTCCTTCTCTCCCTCCCTTTTCCCTCTCTCCCTCTGTCTGTTTTGCTTCGCTCCCTCCATCTTCATTTGCTCTTGCCCCCTTTCAATCCCGCTTGTTTCCTCGTCTCTGAGTGATTCTCCCCTTTCCAGGCTTTGATATCGAATCTTTCCGACGAGCTGAGAACCATGTCCCATCGCAAGCTCAGACCTG